GCAGGCGGAAGGAACTCTGGGAAGAGACGGCGGAGCGTGAAGGGCTTCAAGGTACAGTTAATGGGTTGGTCGGCTGGGTTGAAGCTTGGCAGGAACAGCATGCCCAGGTAACCGCGTCCAGGTCGCATAAAACTGGGCGAAGGCAATGGACACGACGTAAGATGGAAAAATGCAACGAGGAAACCATCGGGGCACTTCTTGAGGGTATACGCGCTTGGACGCGCGGATGGAGAGATGTCGAAGAAGCATATCGCATACGAGAAAGAGAACGCAGGCTGAGAATGGAAGGTAGACAAAGACAGCAGCTCGAAGACATCCAAGAGCACAGCACCTCTGGAACTCTCTGAGATCGGAGTTCGCGAAGATAAATTTACCTGTGTTGAAAGAGGAAAAGAATAAGCCGCGCCCAGTGTGCCAATCACCTTAATATTGCCACATAATCCGAAGGAAAACGCTGAGCCACCATGCACCATATAGTTCATGCTATCAGGGTATAAGTGTAAAAGTAGATGATTCACGAAGGGTGAAGTAGATACTCGTAAATTGTCGCCAGCGGTCAAGCTTGACATGATGGTAGCCAGACGCGGTTATGCAGCGAACTGCGTAGTTGTAGACTTTCAGAAGGGTCGTAAACAAAGCGGGCGTACCCAGTGGGAGACCACCTATCCTCACTGATTGCCGGATGTGGTAGCAAGCCCATCAATCTGCAGTCGTCACTATTGGACACAGGATATGCTATCATGAGCTGTATGTTCGGGTTGAAAAAGTCTTGCGGTGCGTCGAGCCACGGAGTCTCTTCGCCCGTTGACAAACGACGGTCAATTCAACGTTGTAGATTGATTACTGCCAACTGTTTTGACATCTTCAGTATATGGTTAAGCAATTGACCAGAGATAAGAGACATACCTGTTTTGCGAAACCGAATGCAAGCTTCTTACCATCGGTATCCCATGAAAGGGAGCGATCTGGTAGCGACTCCACGGCTCCGTTTTGTCCGTTGGCCGCATGATCTGCTTCTCCTTCTGACTTTGCTTTATCGGAGCCGGGTACGACCCAAGTAGCCATCGCGGTACCTCCTCTCTCTGCATTCCAGATAAACAATCTGTCGCGGCTGGCAGCAGCAACGGCGTAACCGTCAGGTGAGAAACAGGCGGCCAGAGCCGGCATTGACTGACCGAGGACCAGGCGATGAAGACAGATAAACCGTTTTGCTTCTAGGTCAAGTTGCCAGATTTTGACTGTATCGTCGGTGGATGCGGAGGCAAGAACGACAGAATGGCCAAGCTGGGTCTTTTCAGATGACTCGGGACGAGGACGCATCTCAATGGACGTGATATCTCCTTGGTGCGCGTCGTCGAGATACATATCATGCGTTGGCACCCAAAATGCAGCAGTATCAGAGGATGCAGCCACTGCCACAGGGGAGGAGCCGGCGTTGGCACAGCGAACGAAGGACCAAACTCTGTCTGATTCGCCCCATGAGAAAGTCTTGGCGATACGAATGCTGGAGTCCACATCGCACTGGTAAACTACACCGTGACCGCTGGCATAGGCCTGTTTGTGTCCGAGCCAGCTAAGGTCATAGATCGAACCATCCACCACTTGAGGAGAAGGAAACTCATCTGGTCGCAATGAGTCATCCCAGATTGCCAGCTCGGAAATCTTGCTATCCGATGCTACTACAATCAAATGGGAGCTATTGTCGGCCCAGTGAAGTCCAGTGATCATGCGTGGTACTTCTGGAAGGAGGTCAACAGCGTTTCCAGCCACATCGTACATGGTAATGGAGCCTCTCATGTCGTTGTAGGTGGCTACAGCAAACTTGTGGCCCTTGGGATGCCACGCAACGGCCGAGACGCAATTGCCATCCCCTTTGCTTTCGACCAACTTCTCCTGCACCGGACCGGAGGAGGTAGATTGTAACCTCCACAAACTGCAGAACGTATCTCCAGCTGCAAGGACAGTGGTGGGATCATTGGGCCGCCACAAGGTGCGCGTCACGTGATCATCTCCAGCCACATTCAGGATGGTGGTGTTCGGGCTGAGGTCAGCAGCCTTGGCGGGACTGATCTGGACACCCACGCTGTGGCCCGTTGTCAGTGTGAAGGTTGGCGCCACGGCTGCTTCCTGCTCCTGCAGGTCTGGTCGTACATCCATGTTCACGTCACCGTCGCCATCCACGTTCGTTTCGGCAGGCGATGGCGACGCGGCAACTGTCAGTTTTCTTTCTGTTTCCACGCCATTAGTGTCTACGTCCATAGGGACTCCATCACCGTTGACTTCTCCGCGATCGCTTTTCCGAGCTTTTTTGACAGTAGTGGGCGGTAGTTGGGGCCACCAGCCTCGGCCGTCGGGTGGCCATTACTCACGCCGCCTTCTCGCGCGGCTTTGCTTGTAGACGAGTCAGACGCTTGGTCGGTGCCGGTACCCGCCTCTTCTGGACCAGCTTGGCCTTTTTGCGTTTCTAGCTCTAGCGACACCGGTCCGAAGAAGTATTTTGAAGGTGTGAATGGTGTTGGATTCCCATCCTGTAAGCAAAGATTAGAGATCTTCAACAATGGATCTTTGAGGAAGATCAAAAAAAAAAAAATTTTAGAAAGGGGCGGGATGTTTTTCAACAGCAGAAACATGCCTTGTCAATGGACTGCTCGAGTTCGTAATATTGAAGTCCCTTTTGAACCAGAGATACCAGTGCGTGCGTTCGAATGTAGGGAGCAAACGGCAAGCTCTGCGGATCATGGTTCCATGCGCGCTGCAGCGTCACTGCAGCTTCACCATGGCCTGTATACGAAGTTAGATCAAGATTTTTGAATATGGATTCTCCTTTTGCGAGATATCTGATTTAATGGCGAGAGAGCGAAGTCTAAAAGCTGTGAACACCAACCTGATTCTTGAAGATACCTAGTGCGTGTTAGTGTCCTGGCAATGTGAGAAATCCACCATCATGGTAGGATTGTGTGGCCGTAGAGAATGGGAATCAAAGGTCGGCAAGGGTGATCAGCACATACCTCCATATTAAGTAATTAACGTGATGTGATGTGAGGTCGGGATGTTCCATTGTTACATGCGAAGCAACTAGATGCAGAATCCGCTCGCATGCCAGGATTTGAGAATATCCAGAATAAAAGGTCCTCAGCTGGAGAAGAAGAAGATCAAAAGATGGCGCGTTACAATGGGCTTGCGAGATTCAAGATCCGAAGGATTGACTGGGTGGGCCAGTAAAACAAAAAGAAGGTTCCTTAGGTTCGTTAGGTTCCTTTCGCCGATTTTCCTACCCTGCGAACTTAAGGTGGGAGACGCGGAGTCCTTTTTGGGGTTCAAGAGGGGAGGCTCGATTGGGACAGATGCAGCCAAGACTGTGACAAGGGAGTAATAATGATGAGGAAGAAGACGAAGGAAAATAAGAATGAGTTTCAGGAACAACGCCAATAGAAGTGATGAGGAAGGGGCTCGTGAATGAAGATGTAAGGAACCAATAATAAGTAATAGGGACCAGATGTTCCTCCTCAAACCTGTACCTTGACAAGCTAATGCGAGTGTTGGCAAAGAGCAGAGATGTAGGTAAGTGAAACTAGTCCTGTGCTTGCGTAACTTGTAAGAAAGATTATTTCTTCCGTTGCAGAACAGTAGGAAGTAGTAAGGTAATGATTAATGAAAATAATAATGAATAATAGCGGAAGTCATGAGACGGAACAGAATTGAGAGCAATGTGTGGCTCAAGGATTGCAGGCCCGCTAGTAGTGAACTGCAGAGGTTGGGACTGCACACTGTGGAGGAACTGCTGTCAAGAAAGAAGTTGGATCCAGATTCCTGATTGTTGCTGTAAGACAAAGATTGCAAACTGCAAATGGGTAAACGTCTTTGTGAAGAAGAAAGAAGAGGCAAAGGAAGATTGGGTAGGTATTTTTGCCTACCTAGGCGGCTCTAAGTCTGGGGACTTGCTGCTTAAAGTTTCAGCTTCCAGCCAGACTCCAGTGGTAAGGTCACTGGGTTAGGCTAACCGCGTCCAGTTAAACCACAAGCTGTTCAATATTCGAAGTCAAAAGTCAAGAATCCAAAAGACATGGAGACATGATGGGCTTGTCTCTCGTTGTGGCGTTTAGCCCACAATTCCACCATCTGGCTTAGGCTAGGATTAGTCTAGCGCGTAGCGTGCAGTCAGAAAACCCACCGGCCCCTTGGGACTTTACGCTTTTGGGTATTTATCTAGCTAAGGTAACTATGTAAACTTCTGACGGCCAAATGATCGTCTAGGGCGTCTTTTTTTAATTTTGTTTTTCTGGTTTTCTGGTTTGTTGGTTTGTCCATTGGGGTCTAGGGTCAGCGCTTCCAGCCTAAACCTTTTCTTCATCTAGATACGGCTATCTTTGTAATTCCGCTGCCCGCAATGTATCCCCTCGATGTTGCTGCTTGTGGTGGATATTATGTAGATATATACTACGGAGTATTACAAGTCATATATATATAAGGTACTGAGAATGAGCCATTTCCTGCGGAGTGCCCTTCCAGATTTGCTCATTTCGGTGCTCCTGTTGAAGCTCTGGAAAAACTTCCGCTGGACCTCCACTTGATCAGACTGCTCAACAGATTGTAAAGTGCAGCCAGCCCTCTAAGTCAGTCCTGACACAGCCAAGGTGCTTGACATGCTTACAGTTTCCCAGGGCACAAAGGAAAAGCATCACGTCAATAGTACTCATCCTGAGGAAAGGCGGCTAGCTGCGAACGGTAATCGATGGGCTGGTCCATTCGACAACAAGTAGACCACAATGAGTTGTCGTTCCTATTATATCTCTACGCGTAATCGCCAAAGATGTCTGTCATGTACCGACCGGCAAACGTGGGTGGTGCAGGTGGACAGCATCCGTCTTGCTCTGTCGCTCTACTAAGTTCTAAGATGTATAGCTCTCTATTTATACCAATTACTTTTAGATTAACCCTTCTATATCTAAGGATTTGCATATTTGTTATACTAAAATAGTCGGAGTTGATGGAAGTCTCGACAAAGACTGAGCAGTTAAGGCTATCAGCAGTCCCTTCAAGCTACTGTATTCGAGACACCTTTGCTACATGCAACTTGACATAAAGCCGAATACTTGCGTCGGTTTGTATCCTCATTGTGCGGGTACGACGATTATGACCACCTTGCAGACCAGGTGCATCTATTTCCTATCCGCTCTTCGTCATAGATCATTGTTCTGGATTTCATAATTATTGTTATTAAAACCAGCTGTCGGCCAATCCTCAGAGATAGGAGTCAGATTTACTCAAGCTAAATCCACTCACCCAATCATTAAACGCGATCCAAAGGTCCAAAAGGCGCTCAATCTCCCTGTCCGATGTGCACTTGTCCGATCGACCGCCTTTCTCATAAAGTCCTGCCCTACGGTACGACATCTCCTACATTACTAGATTCCTTGGGCTCTCGTCAACAGCCTGCGGTCTGCGCTCTAAATGAGCAGCCGTGAGTGCTCTCCTCGTCAAGATGCCGTACCGAATTAACATTCCTCCTGCGACCCGTACTTGTCTCGTCAGCCTCGTCACTCTCTCCTTGCTGTACAACATCGCCCGATGGCGACAAATTGACACTACGGGGAAAACACCCACAGCGACACCTATTGTCCCCTATTTGACCCTTGTGCCATGGCAATTCTTCTTTTACCCATGGACCCTACTTACGGCCACATTCGTGGAGCAGAATATCTTTACGGTAGTCCTTAACGCCGCTACTCTGTTCTATGGTGGGAAATACCTGGAGCGCGCTTGGGGTTCCAGAGAGTTCGCGAAATTTATCGTCATTATCGCAGTCATTCCCAACGTGGTGGTAGCCCTGGTATACCTACTATGCGCCGCCATAGGGGCAAGCTCAGTGAGCGGGTATGAGATCTTCTCCCAGCACGACTGCAGAACCTCTTCGCGCTCTATCTGCTGACTCTCATCTCTAAGCCTAACGCAAATATGTGGCGGCATATCGATCCAGTCGTCCTTCCTCGTCGCCTTCAAACAACTCGTTCCCGAGCATACGGTCACGATATTCAAAGGCCTGGTCAAGATGCGCGTGAAACATTTTCCCGCCCTGTTCCTGTTGCTCAATACCATTAGCGGGTTGGTTTTCGGAACGCAAGTCGCAGCGCTCCTCGCGTGGCTGGGGCTGTTGGCCAGCTGGTCCTACCTGCGATTCTACAAGAGGCAGCCTGACCTCACGGGCACGTCGACAGACGGACAAGGAATCAAGGGTGATGCAAGCGAGACTTTCGCATTCGCTTGCCTCTTTCCGGACGTTATGCAACCGCCAATTGCATTTGTTTCTGATCAGATCTATACGCTCCTCGTGGCGCTCAAAATTTGCACGCCATTCTCGGAGGAAGACATCGCATCCGGGAACCAGCAAGTCCTCGCGAGAGGTGAGGCCGGTCTACCCAGCCTGCTCAGCAACCAAAGAGGCGGAGGAATGCGTGGTATAGGCAAACGTGAAGAGGCTGAACGAAGACGGGCGCTGGCACTCAAAGCGTTGGACCAGAGACTCCAAGCCGCCGCCGCAGGAAGAGCTCAATCCCAGTCGTCTACATTGAGTCAGCCCGGACCCAGCCACGCTCACCCCGCGACACCGACTGTCTCGACGGGACAGAGTATGCTGGGGGAAACGAGCTACACGCCTGATCATGCGTGAACCCTACATTCGTGGTTTTTCATGACCACTCTGGAGATACCAATCTCCAATGAGATATTGATAACCCAAATTGGGGACAGATGAGCTTTTATTTCTCTCAACCGTCTACACTGTCACAAACGCTGGCTTCTGCAATTTCCCCTATGTAGTGGAACCGGATTTTCACGGGAGGGACTAAAACGCTTTCTTCGAAGCTGCCGAGACTTCCCGTACTCTGTTCTTGTTTATGTTGTCACTTGCTGTGATGAAATCTGCTATGATGTATATGGCGTGAAGTTGATATGCAACTGAGGTAACTTACGAGCCAGAGTCGTGAGAACTCTCATATCCGCAAATTCAAATATTCCCAAGCATTCCCAAGACAATTTTGTAAAAAGAGTGTTCCCAAAACTACAGGATCAGAAAGAAAAGAAAGGCTATGTTACAATTGATCATGCCGATGTCGTTTTCCCACAGTCAGGACCCATCTCAAAAACCAGAGCTATGTACCCGGAGACCTCAGAATGCGAAGAAGACATTCTCCAAAAATAAACCCCCAAAGAACGATATCTTACGACTGCCTCAGTCTCTCCACCTCGCCTCTCGCCTCCTGTAACATCCGCTCTTGGTCCTTCTTCGCCTGCCGGATAGCAGTCACACGCGCGCGGTCCTTATCCGACTGCTGACGCATCTGCTCCAGCTTCTTCAGTTCGGTCTCCTCCTCGGGAGTCGCCGGCAGCTCCTCCGCCCCCGTCATCATCTTAACCTTCTTCCAGATCTCCTTGTAATCGAGGTTCTTGAGGTCAACGACGGCCGTCTTCTCTGTCTCTGATGGCGCAGGGGCGTACTTGTCTTCAACCTTGGAGGCGTTCAGCGCCGCTGCTTTGCTGGCTTGCTCGGCGAAGTATATCGTTAACGCGGCGGGTCCTTCCTGCTCATCGGTTTGCTTGACGGTCATCCGGACCCCGGGGTTGTAGTACTTGAGGCGAGGCAGGCAATTGCGCCAGAAATGTCGTGCGCCTTGGTGGCCGCCGTAGATCTTGCGGGCGTATGTGAGGTGCAGTCGGGTGATGGCTGGGAATTCTGCGGTTGCTTTTGAGGCAGCTGGGAGGATTGCAGCACCTGTTCCGACGCGGACGTTGAGGATCTGTACGACCGGATCGAGTTAGCGAATAGTATATTCGATTCACTGAAGGTGGGTTTATTATATTGAAGGGAACGCGGCTAAGGCTAGAATTGAAACCAGCTCGCGATACGAAGAAAACCGGAATGGGCATTTTTAGGGGAATGTAGCGAATCATACCCTCTAGAGATTCTAGGTCAGCAAAATGTTCAATGAGCAGACACAGTGAGGTGGCCGGGGCAACGTACAGTCTTCAACTTCCGCATCCGCTTGAACAGGTTCACCATTTTGAGAGTCGTGAGAGCGCACAAGGACCAGGTCCTTGTGTCAGGTGGGATGAAATGGAGAAATCGACAAGATAAATGATAAAACAACAATCAACACTCAACTACTACTCCGTACCAGCGGGGACTGAAGGGAGTTCTGGCTCGAAGGCTTAACTTGAATTTCTGGAAACACGGCGGAAAGAAAACGCTCCAATATATACTCACGTGACTTTTATAGATAGCCTACGGTGTTTTACTCCATGCTGTCTTGTTAAGAATGAGTAGTCAATGTCAAGAAACTCGCACGTAGTAGAAGCTTCCCACTTATAGATCTCGATTGACACATACCAATTCATGCTTGCTCCTTGGTATCCTCGAGGTGTCTCTGCTTTGGACTCGGCCTCGTTCACAGGGAAGTTTTTCCAGTGACTCAACGCAGAAATCCTAGGCTTTTCCAAGCATTTCCGTAAATTGTATTGCGATATTTTGGCTGGGCTGCACAGGAACATTCATTTGAATCATACCACTATGTCGCTGTTACCTGTACAGCCAGCATCAATTTGAGCTGGTGTTCTGACCTTCAGACTCCACCAAAAGCAGACAGATGGCACGTGCGCGATAAATACAACTACTGTCACCGCCATTACATACGCCGTTTTGACTCCCAAATGGCCGGCAAGAATTTCGTTCGATAGAGCCAAACCCCGCGGTGGATATATAGTAATTGACCTCCACAACCACGCCTCAGGGCTCTCCCATTTTCTGTTTGCATCACAGCAGACTTCATTATTGAGAGCCATGGCAGCCGCTGCTGCATCCGCTGCTGCGCTCGACCCGGGCAACAGCACCAAGAATACTCTTAAGCTCGAAAATGTTCGTACGACCTGTTACCCCTCCCCCTCATTGAGCGTTTCCGGGTGGATTTACAGCTAATTGCTTCTTGTTGATCTAGACCGAGAAGAGAGACACTCTTATCGCCATCGAGAAGAAATACCAAGCACAATGGAAAGAGAAGAAGGTGTTCGAGGTCGATGCTCCGTCGCTGTCGGAGGTTCCTGCCAGCACCATGTCTTCCGCAGAGCTTCGGGAGAAGCACCCAAAGTTCTTCGGAACCATGGCATATCCTTACATGAACGGCACTCTGCACGCTGGTCACAGTTTCACGGCCAGTAAAATTGAATTCATGACCGGCGTTGCCCGCATGGAGGGTAAGAGGGCTCTTTTCCCTCTCGGCTTCCACTGCACGGGTATGCCTATCAAGGCCTGCGCAGACAAGCTTGCCGACGAAGTCCAGAAGTTCGGAAAGAACTTCGAACGCTACAGTGAAGAGAGCGAGGAGCAGGACCCCACGGCAGTTGCAGCCCCTACGCAGGAAGTCAAGGCTGAGCAAGAGAAGTTCTCCGGAAAGAAGAGCAAGGCCGCTGCGAAGACCGTAAAGATGAAGTATCAGTTCCAGATCATGTTGGCCATCGGCTTGCCTCTTGAGGAGATCCACAAGTTCGCCGATGCTAACCATTGGCTTCACCACTTCCCACCCCTTGCCATTCGCGACCTCGACAGCCTCGGTGCTAGAGTGGATTGGCGCAGAGAGTTCGTCACGACCGACGCCAATCCTTACTACGACTCTTTCGTGCGCTGGCAGATGAACCGCCTCCACGAGCTCGGCAAGATCCAGTACGGCAACCGCTATACTATCTATTCGCCGAAGGATGGCCAGCCTTGCATGGACCATGACCGCACGGAAGGTGAGGGAATTGGCCCGCAGGAATACACCGCGATGAAGTTGCAGGTGAAGGAGTGGGCCCCAGAAATTGCTGAGCTGGTCAAGGGAAAGATCGAGGATGATGCCAAGGTTTACTTCGTGCCAGCCACTCTGCGTCCAGAGACAATGTACGGACAGACTTGCTGCTTCCTTGGTCCCAAGATCAAGTACGGAATTTTCAAGGTCAAGGAGAAGGAATACTACGTCGTGACCAAGAGAGCGGCCTGGAACATGGCCTTCCAGGGAATTTTCTTCGACAGCGAACACTTCCCCAAGACGCAGGACGAGCTGCCACTCGTCCTAGAAGCGCCTGGTTCCGCCTTTGTGGGCACCCTTGTTAACGCCCCACTGTCGTTCCACACTGAAGGTGTGCGTATTCTGCCTATGGAGGGTGTCTCTGCCACCAAGGGTACCGGCGTCGTTACATCAGTCCCCTCGGACAGCCCTGACGACTACGCTACTTTGGTCGATCTTGCCAAGAAGTCCGAATACTATGGCATCAAGAAGGAATGGGCCGAGCTGGAGATCTTCCCTCTCATCGAGACCCCGACGTACGGTAACCTCACCGCCCCTGCGCTTGTCAAGAAGCTCAAGATCAACTCCCCCAAGGATGTCAACCAACTTGCACAGGCCAAGGAGCTGGCGTACGGCGAAGCTTACTACAAGGGTACTATGTTGGTTGGTGAGCTCAAGGGCGAGCCAGTGAGCGCCGCCAAAGAGAAGATCCGCAAGTCTCTTTACGAGAGCGGCGACGCCTTCCCCTTTGCTGATCCTATGGGTAAGGTTGTTAGCAGAAGTGGAGACGACTGTGTTGTTGCCTACCTTGGTCAGTGGTTCTTGAACTACGGAGAGAATGACGCCGAGTGGCAGCAGGAAACCTTGAAGTATGTCGCCAACGACCTCAACACGTACCTGCCCGAGACCAAGCACGGTTTCGAGAAGAACCTAACGTGGCTGAATCGATGGGCCTGTGCGAGAACCTATGGTCTGGGATCCAAGCTCCCATGGGACCCTAAGTTCCTCGTTGAGAGTTTGAGTGATAGTACCATCTACATGGCCTACTATACCGTTGCTCATTACCTGCATGGCGACCGCTATGGTAACACGCCCGGTCCGCTGAACATCAAGCCGGAACAGATGACTGATGAGGTCTGGGACTATATCTTCACGAGACGTGAGCTTAGCGACGAGCTCATCTCAAAGAGCGGTATCAGCAAGGATGCACTGCTGAAGATGCGTAGAGAGTTCGAGTACTGGTATCCTCTGGATGTGAGGGTCTCTGGCAAGGACCTCATTCAAAACCATCTGACTTTTTTCCTTTACATTCACATCGCGCTCTTCCCACGGGAATACTGGCCCCGCGGTGTCCGTGCAAACGGACACTTGCTCCTGAACGGAGACAAGATGAGCAAGAGCACGGGCAACTTCCTTACACTTAAAGACGCTGTCGAGAAGTTCGGTGCTGACGCCTCTCGTATTGCGTTCGCCGATGCTGGTGACGGAATCGAAGACGCCAACTTCGACGAGAATGTCGCAAACAGCAATATTCTCAGGCTCTTCACACTCAAGGAGTGGATTGAGGAGACTGTCAAGGACAGCTCCCTGCGCACAGATTCGGAATACTCGTTCTGGGACAAGCTGTTCGATAATGAGATGAACAGCCTGGTTCGCGAGGCCATCAAGCACTACAAAAAGTGAGTTTTTGATGATCCTACATGTTGCACTTCCAATGGCTAACCCCATCTCAGTACCGATTTCAAGCTTGCCCTGAAATCCGCTCTCTTTGACCTGACCAACGCTCGTGACGTCTACCGTGAGGCCGCAGTTTCGGCTGGTGTCGGAATGCACCGTGACGTGGTCCTGCGCTATGTTGAACTCCAGGCTCTGATGATCTCTCCCATTGCGCCTCATTGGGCTGAATACATCTGGCTCGAGGTTCTGAACAAGGTTTGTACCTCTGCGTATCGAATGACCCTAAGGTAGCTTGACTAATTTTGTACCTCTTAGCCTGAGACAATTCATTATGCTCGCTTCCCGGAGGTCCCCGAGCCCTCCGTTGAGCTTTCGGCTGCCCTGAACTATGTTCGTTCCACCTCTTCTAGCATCACATCGGCTGAGGCTGGATTCGTTAAGAAGCTTTCCAAGGGCAAGACGATGTTTTTCGATCCTCGCAAGCCCAAGAAGCTTACCATCTACGCCGCGAAGAAGTACCCTGCCTGGCAGGAGAAGTACATCGACCTTGTCCGGGAAGCATTCGATGCTGTCAGCCTCTCTATTGACGACAAGGAGCTGAACTCCAAGGTTGGCAAGCTCGGCGAGATGAAGAAGGCTATGCCTTTCGTCCAGACCCTGAAGACCCGCTTGATCAAGGACAAGGAGGCTCCTGAGAACGTTTTCTCGCGGAAGCTTCCCTTCGATGAATTAGCTGTTTTGAAGGAGATGCTTGGTAACCTGAAGCGGACGACTGGTTGCAAGGAGATCGAGGTCATTGCGGTTGATGAAGGTGGCAAGACCGGTGAGGTGCTGGGCACTGGTGAGAAGAGAGAAGGCCTGTCGGCTGAAAATGCGGTTCCTGGTCAGCCCACCTTCGGCTTTACCAATATCGCTGAGTAGACAAGGGCACAATAACCATCTACTGTTATATTTGCCTTCGATTAGATATAGGCCGAGCTTCTATAGGCGGTTTCACGAAAATACAAATATTGACGATTTTCTTGCGAGTTCAAAATCATTCCATTCTTTACATAGCGATAGAATTTAGCCCACCGACCCGTATAAGGCAAGAAAAGAACGAAGTCTACAGAAGCTTACCAGTACACCTGCAACCAATGATTTGCTGGAACAGCGTGTAGGCCCCAACTTGAACCTAGGTAGTCTATATACATCGAGACCTAGTATATCGGATATCGTACAAGAATAGAGAGCAATGAATTTTGACGATGCCTTCTATGCCCATGAACACCAGTCGCTATGCTATACTTTACAAAACCGCCCAGCTGGCTTCATAGCATCCACGAAGCCAAGCCGGTATCGAACACATACCGTACTAATTATCGGGATTGCTGCGCTCGTCTTTTCAGACCAACGTTCTGTCGTCCCCGGGAAGCTCTCTTGCGCTTATCAGCAGCGCGCTTCTCGGCGATGAAATTCCAACATTCGATCGGAGGCCGCGATCCGATATGCTGTCCGTTGGGACTGAAGACCTCAACTCGAGGCACAGAACTTGGGGGCTCCGATTCCTCCGATTTTGCACCGGCTCGAATCTGCACGGTAAGCTCCACCCATCCACAACCTTCAATTAGGATGTCTGTCGACATCACTTTGTATGGGAGTCGAGGCACTGAAACACCGTGGTCTTCTACTGCCTTGGCGATGGAGGTCGGCAGGTGCGAGCGAGTCACATCCCACTTCAACTCGAAAATTCCAGCAGATGAAATCGAAGCAGTGGTTTCCTCTCTCATAATCTGCTCGCCGGGATAAGGACGCTGACCTGCCTGCATCTCCACGGCCTTTTCTGTTTTGGTAACGTGGGCTTCGATGGGGACGAAACAGGCCGCCATCAGGACATGGTCCGGGTTTTCAGCCGTTATTCGGACGAGACCTCCTCCGAGAAGTAGCGATTGCCCGGGTTTTACCGTGCGGTGCTCAGGCTTCTTCCGTTTCGTCATGGTAAGATCCCGTTTGTGCTCGTCACGAACGTGGTTCAGTAGTTGACCGCGGTCGAGGCCAGGCAGATCGATCATTTCACCTTTACCGTGGCCAAAGGGGATGCGGATCGGCGAGACAGTGGTGCCTGGCACAGACGAGATGACGGGGAGGACAGGGTAGAGATCTTCTCGAGGCGCCGGCGGCAGTAGGCTGTCGGAACCCAATGAGACGTCGTTGAATTGGTTGATGTCCGACTCTACCGCCCTGCGTTCAACCAGTTCTGCAATCTTCTCCAGGTTCCTAGAATCCTTGGGGAAACAGGCTTCGATGAAGCTGCTTTTTCCCACATTGGCCTTGCCAACTACCCAAATACCTCCTCCGTGCTCTCTGATATCCTCCTTCACCTGCTTAGTCCACCAGCCTCGATGGGCACTAATCATATGTACGTTGCCCAACCGGAATTCCTCTGAGGACAGTTTCAAGGCGTCTCGGAGAACAGATCGCACGTACTCCATCTTCGAGTCAACTTGTTCCTTGGTCGCGGCTAATAGATCGGAGCGCGTTATGACGAACGATATGGTTGGTAACTTCCTCCCCCACCGATACTTCTCGGTCGAGGCTCTTCGATTTTTCGAGCGTGGTTCTTGAATAGACAACGCATCGTAAATATTGTCGACAAGGGACATGGGAAAATCTGCTGCGTCAATGACGTGGTAAATACGGTTATCCCGGTGAGGCGACTCTTTCAAATATTCCTGGATTGAGTAAATGGTAGGCGTAGGTACGGAAACAGCTTTATTGTGGTGAATTAAGTCGTGGCATCTGTCGCACACCTGCGCAGGCGCTCTGGATTTCTCCAGAAAATGGCTGGCAGTTGTCGTCGCTTCCTCGAGCATCGCTCCATCTGTATAAAAGAAGTTCATCAGTGTCGCCTTGGTCAACCGAGGGAAATCCCAACGTACGCTTAGCTTTTGGAATAGGTACTTCGGAATCGACTAGCTTGAGTATTGTGCTCGCCGCTTTCTCCGCTTCACTCCTCAAGTCAGTTTCTTCTTCTTCACCTCCAGGCCTGTCGTTTGCTGCTCGTTGCGACTCTGATATGAGCTTCCGAACATGTTTCCTAGTTTTGCCATAGTATCCGGGCTCGTTTGGCTCGACGGTTTGCGCATAGGCACCGCATCCTGGACAACAGACTGGTAGTACATCTTCAACAGATCTGGAGGGCTCTGGACATGACTGAGCAGTGGTTGATAGATTGCGTAACTGGCTTGCGGTTAAAAGGTGGCTCGGTTGACGGTTGCCAAAGAGCTCCGCATGCGCAAGAAGCTTTCGTGGTGGTGATAGTAGAGACAGGCGAAGGGTTTTTGCTGGTCGCCTCGACGGTATCTGACGGAATCCGACGGCTCTGGAGTAAGTGCACTTTAGACAGTGCGACATTATGGTGATGATTGCCTAAGTGCACATGTTGCAAAAATGCAGGAGACGATCTCCGATAGATGGATAAGCGTCGGGCGGCCGCCCAGGTCTCCGGAAAAAAGTTTATTGTGGCAAACAGATTGTTTAGACGTAGAACTACAGTACAAGCGCAGGTATAGCACCAAAACTATGATAAGAAGAGGGTTACGAGCATAGTATTCTGTAAATTCTGAATGCTCAAGTCCAGCGAAGATTACAAACACTTCAAAGGCAAACACGCCCAAAATTCCTGATCATAATAAACATGATAGTTTCGGAGAAACAATCGCAGTCGGACTGTAAAATCAAGCCTTTGCTTTTCCTTTGCCCTTCGGATCGTCGATTTGCTCGGTTTCTTCGTCTTCAGAATCACTCATGAACTCGTCGTCGTCATCAAATCCAATGAACTTCCTGGTCGGCGCTGACTTGACAGCCGGTTCTGACGGCGCGGGTACATCCGCCGCGTCTTGTTCTTCATCGCTCTCTTCCTCTGAGCTGTTCTGAGTCTCCTGTCCACTACCCTCACTAGCACTGGCGCTCGTGCTAGATCCGCCCAGGATCGTGTCGCGTAGGTTATCCGTCCACTCTCCATCCCTCATTGCTGCCAGCACAGCCTCCCTGGCCTTTTCGTTCACTTCCTCCTTGTCTTCCATCCACTGCCCATCAATCTTATGCTTTCCGCCACCGTTTTTCAATTCCTCCTGGCGCTTTTCTGCAGCCTCCACAACAGCCTGCCACCGGCGCCGACGCTCTTCCTTTTCTTTTCGATCCATCTCCGGTTTGACTGCGAGGTATTCGGCCAGAGCCTTGGCTTCGTTGACCGTGCGAATACGGCGACCGTCAAGGTTGCGACTGGAGCCATTGTCGTCCCCTTGGTTGCGCTTCCGCTTGCTCGACATACGTCCACCAGCCGCACGAAGCTGGGAACCAAAACCACCTTTGCCTCCGCGCAGGGGAACAGTCAACCGGAGGGGGAGGAGATTCGACGTTGTTGCACCTTCGCCATTAGAGGCGCCAAAAAGAGAAAGTAGACGTTCACATGATGGGACAAGTTGTTTATTACCCGTTGTGGTCAAGACAAGGGACTGAAGTGGTATCGACAATGGCAAGTATGCGGAGACTCTATCGGTAAGATCGGAGATGGTCGATGTGGATGGGAGAGAGAATGAGACTGTCGAAGGTAGGGAGAGTCCTGGGAAGGATGAAAGGAGTACGTTCACTGTTTGTGCTGCCATACTGGTCGTTCAGTATCCGACTGCCACTGAAATTAGTGTATTCGAATGATTAAGCGGCTAGTCAGTGCTGTTAGAGACGTGACTGCGCGGTCAAGTGTTCGAGATGCAAGTAAAGTGAGAGTTGACGTAGAGGAGGCGTTGAAGGCTGTCAAAAGCGGAGTTGAAGATAAGGGAAGATGACTAAGATGCGGTGGCTGATGCCTGAGGCTGAAGAAGGCCCATCTCGTATGATCATGTGATGTTCGGCATATCAGGCTAGCGCGCGGATCAGGGCCACAACCCTAACAGGCGTTCCCGAACAGGAAGCGTCGCACTTTTAACCTGGGCTGCCGCTCCACTTGATCACTTCCATCATATAAACCATTCTCCTCGCGTTGTCAGAGCGATTCCCCGAATAGCGCCTGGAACTCGCGACGATGTAAGTGCTACGTTTAGCTTCATGGTTTTCATGCATTAATTTCGCGTTTGTACTAATGTTACTGCAGGCTTATCCCCAAGGAAGACCGCAAGAAGATCCACGAGTACCTCTTCCGCGGTATGTTGCCGTCGACTCCCAATCGTGCGGCTTTCGCAGCGCAGATTGGTTCGCTCAATTGACGACGAACTCTCACTGACTTGGTGCTTCTTATTGAACAGAGGGTGTGCTCGTGGCCAAGAAGGACTTCAACCTTCCCAAGCATGGCGACATTGACACCAAGAACCTCTACGTGAGTCGATTCCATAACCGCCTGAGGATAGTCGAAGATGAACAATTGCGTCTGACATGTGTGGTTCTGCTACTATAGGTGATCAAGGCCTGCCAGTCCCTGAACTCCCGCGGCTATGTCAAGACCCAGTTCTCGTGGCAGTACTACTACTACACCCTCACCCCCGAGGTAGGTTTACTGTTGAACACCGATGAGTTGAGCAGTATCTGATTTCTTTCATCTAGGGTCTTGACTACCTCCGCGAGTGGCTCCACCTTCCCGCCGAGGTCGTTCCCGCTACCCACATCAAGCAGCAGCGTTCCCACGCTCCCCCTCGCGGCATGCTGGGTGGTGAGGAGCGCGAGCGTCGCCCCCGTGTTCCCCGTGAGGGTGGCTACCGTCGCCGTGAGCAGGAGCCCAAGGAGGGCGGTGCCCCCGGCGAGTTCGCCCCCAGCTTCCGCGGTGGCTTCGGCCGTGGCCGTGGTGCCCCCGCTTCTTAAAGGAAGGTTGTTCGTCTCTCGGTCATCCAAGGGGTTCACGGATGCTGCAAGTGTGGCTTGAGTAGGCTTTCAAAGTCAGAAAAAGCTGCGCCGCTGCTCATCCTATGATGAAAATAGAACTACTCTTTCTATCTGGAGAATGAGGATTATGTACTGCCAATGCCTCTTGTTACGAACTAGCTAGGATTAATGGCAAAATCATCATGACTCAGCCCGATCACTCTGTGCTACTCGTAGATTTGTCAGTTTCTGGTGTAAGATGCCAGCATGTGAATTTGCACACGGGAAGTTTTCAATGGAGCCTGTCTTTGTCGATATGATCGGAGAGAACAATATGAACAGTTTGATTTCCTGATATCCTATGGCAAGCACGATTCCTACGCAGAGAATCTCCTCCTGTCATATCGGATTACTGCCTGCAGAATGACTGATGCGCCTGTGGCACAGTCGTCCGCAGAGCAAAACTCCTCGGGATGATGGCTCAAACCGTCCTTGCACGGCACAAAGATCATACTTGTGGGAACTCGTTTGGAGGTGAAAACACTGTCATGCCCTGCACCGCTCATGATAGTCTGCACAAATGACTTGGGATCAGAAACACCAGCGTCGGCAACGACTGCTTCTGCTGATTGTTGAACACATTCAATGCAGTCCGGGTGAAATTTCACCGCTGGAGAATCAAAATCCATGGTCCACTCCACTCGACATGGCTTTCCAATACCTTTACCTTCTTCGGCAGCAATTGCGTCGAAATCCTTCCTCAATTCTGCTTCCACCACGGCGACTAATTCGGTCTCTGGCCCGCGAATGTCGAGGGAGAAGCTTACAAGCCCTGGCACTGTGTTGACACTGCCAGGCTTCGCCTCGATAATACCAACACTTGCCAAACAACCGTGAGACGACGCGACCTCCCTAGCGCGGACCATCATGCGGGCAAAAGCGTATAGGGCATCTGCTCGGTGCTGGAAGGCTGTAGTGCCAGTATGAGTGTCTCTACCGATGATGATCAGGCGGTACCAGCGGTATGCCTGGACGGCAGTGACTACACCGACACGCTGGTTAGCAGATTCGAGATGAGGTCCCTGTTCGATGTGAAGTTCAAAGTGCGCTGCCATGGGCGTCTCTTTGTATGAGCATGGGACACTTCCGAGATAGTTGATCTTTTCCAGTGCGGATTTCATCGACTCTGGAGAGGAGGCTGCAGTAGGTAGTGAAGCCACCGTAGGAACTTCCTTGAGGTCATGGGCCCTCGAAAGAGGTATGCACTCCGCCCACACGCCGGAAGAAACCATGCTAACTGGGAATCGAGCACCCTCCTCGCTGTGGAAATGTTACTATATTGTCTGCTGCAGGAATCTGCGCACCCTCGTTTTGGAAAACGGCTCTTACTTTGTCCAGTTGACAACTCCTACACCTCCCTCTGTCTCGATTCCCATCTCGTCAATGACCTTCAAAGCTTCAATGCCCGCAAGGACTCCGAGAATCCCGTCATATCGACCACCTGTCGGCTGAGTGTCCAGATGGCTGCCGATGAACGTAGCAGGCACATCCTTCCGACGCCCCGGGCGAACAGCGAAGATATTGCCCATCTCGTCAATGGTGACACTGCACTTCAGTGCCTTTGCCGTCTCGATAAACCAATCCCTAACTCTCTTGTCCTCCTCGGACAAGGCGAGACGCTGCATACCGGTATCTGTCGGTCCACTACGCCAGCCATCGGTCAGCAGTGTTCTGGCTGAACTACACATGGGACCGTGTATCATGCGGGATCTTCATTGTTGGCTCGCAAGGTCACAAAGAGCACCGGCCCAGTTCAAGAAAGAATGCAGGATGCCATGCTTACTCTCCCCATTGAATACCGTAGCCCCATTGACAACTGTGATGAAGGTCTTTCGCAAGACGGTCCTTGTTCGCGCGTAAAGCCGCGATCTGAGCTTCGCTCAATTCCGTAGATAACATGGCTTGGGTCCTTGAGATTGAGAAGGACCGTTGAGATCTTATGAATGCTAATTTCACGGAATGTGATGGTACTCCTCGCTTCAAAAGTAATCGGACAGCTGGTGAAGGTGCAAACCTAGAACTCCATGCAAGTGCCATGGCGCCTTCCAATGAAGGAACAACGACAATTTATCTACGAGTCCTTGATATGAAGAACCGCCGCTTGATAGGGAAGCCCTGCGGAGAAAGCAGAGAAAAGATAACTGCTCAGGGCGGGGTCAGGCCTATCAACGTGGTTCTTATCGAGCCCAATAGTCGTCAATTGGGTGGTTTCGGCCGTTAGAAGCGGACTCTTGCCCGTTCGTCAGGATAGGCTGCTTCTCCAACTCGGAAGATTTGGGGTAGCTGCGAACTACAGAGGGGTGGGGGAACGTGCCTCAAACGGAGTAGTGAGATGGCCCTCAAGATGCTTTGATAAAGTAGGAATAAACTGGCTTGAACACGAGCATAGACTCATGACTTTCGCTTCGCTATAGCTTATCAACGAGTCAAGTCACGATGAGCTTGAAAAGCAAGGGTCAAGAGTTGCACGTAGCACTCAATTGACAACGGCGGAGTAGGAGCACTCTCTCGCAGTGGCACTATAGCCACGGGGCTTACCACTAAGAACACGCACTTTGTATTGTTCCTGCAACTATCTGAGGTATACTCAGGGCTAAAATCTTGTTAAAAAAAAAGGACACAACAATCTAGGAATGCATTGATCGAAATCTGAACAAAAATAAAAATAACAAAATCGACAGCTATGTCGATGGAAAGGTCCAAAGATTGAGAAGAGGAGTATGTTGGGCAAGCCACGGCCATCTCTGGTAAAAGGCAAGAAATGGGTTCTGAGCTAGCTTGTCCCACTCCTCGGGGGAGTCTCCCCGATTTAAAATATAACCCACCCCAGAGCAAAGAAAGAGTCTCCGTTCGAATCCGGCCCTCTTCGCCCTTTTCTTTTCTTTTCGGTTCGTTTGACGTCGCGTACCCCGCATTCAACCCACCTGCCCGCATCTTGAACAGTTCATTGACTTCACGATTGATTATTGTCAGCTGTCAATCGGTACTTCACTTAATTTTCGTGTATAGCCATCTAGTCCATCCACACGTCGTCCACATAATGTCTTCCGCTGCCTGTATATTCTGCAAAATCATCAAGGGTGAGCCCTATCTCCTGCCACCCACCAGTGAGCTGTTGCGTCTCCAACTTTCGCCAGAAAAGCTTGCGATGACGCCGTAGCTCTCCTGCTTGATGGCGCTAAGCTTCTTCATGAAACATAGGTGATATCCCTTCCTTCAAGCTCTTCGAGAGTGACAAGGTCTTCGCTTTCCTTGACATCCAGCCTCTCAGCCGTGGCCATGCGGTAAGTTCTGGCACCTTTACGTTGGACTGCAGCATAACCTACCCGAGATATCAATCCTATATCCGATATCTCACGCAGCCTCTTTGTATACATTTCGGCGGATCCCATAACATTCATTTCGAGAAAATTATAAATCCGCTAACAGTAAGGCTGAATCGTCTGTAATAGCTCGTGATCCCCAAGTTCCACGGTGCGAAGCTCACCGATATCCCTGACGAAGACCTCAGGGAACTGCTGGTACGTGAAGAAAGAAAGAAAACTCAAGCAGAATTTTGTGTCGCTCGCCTTTCTATACCCTTTGCACATCCTTGAGGACCTTGGGGGATAAGGTCCACGGACTTTGAACCTTGTCCCCCGCAGGTTACAGGGTCCCCTACCTAATCATATTTTCAATAGGAGGAGGAGGCTGACAGATGTTATCTCCAATAGCCCGTGGCCAAGCAGATTGCCAAAGCAAGCGGCGCAGAGGACTACAATATCCTGCAGAACAACGGCCGCATTGCTCACCAAGTTGTCGACCATGTAAGAGACTGTTTCTGGGCGTGAGAAATGGAAACACAGCGCTGACCCTTGCTTTTCTATCTGATTAGGTCCACTTCCACATGGTATGTCTTAGCATTCCTCCTGGTGTATGTTGCAATAGTGCTAATCGCAGATTAACAGATTCCGAAGCCTAATGAGACAGAGGGTCTTGGTATTGGATGGCCTACCCAGCCTACCGACATGGATAAACTCAAGGCTCTGCATGAGGAAATCAAGTCCAGGATGTAAACCGACACATTCAGTCTAAAAGTCGCCGTCCTTGGCTCAATAAAAGAAGTTAGCGTGGTCCTTCAGTCCCTGTCGAGCATTGACTGTCATTACCACAGCCAATTGTAAATTCATCTCTTATACCATTCAGTAACAAAGTCAAGACAGTGTATACGGAATTGATGCATTAGTATAGACTGCAGTGCTCTATATATACAAACTGTCGTCCAGTACAGACATTATGACTCATTTTTGAGCACGTCGATGTCCAAAAAGTAATGATAAGTCAGGTCAAAAGTACTCAGTCTCATCACATCTTGACCCTCTGGATTATTGGCTGCTGGCCGCATTTCCCTTCGACATGCTCTCCGCTGAATAGAAGTCGATTTTGCCATTACCTTGGAGCACATTCAAGCGATCGTACAGGGACCTGGCACGTACGTAAGGGTCAAGCTGCCAGTATTGCTCCCTCAACCGCTCAATAAGGTCCTTTCTCTTATCCTTAGCTGTTGCCACAGCATCCTTGTCTCCTTTGGAGCTGGCCGCGATCCACGAAATGGTCGCATCTTGGATTTCTTTGCCAAGTTCACGTCGCTCTGCTAACAGCTGGTCTCGTTTGGCAGTGTCTTCCATCGGCTTATTTTCGTCCGGTTCGCATTCCGCGTACTTGTACTCCCAATTCTCATCACCCTCAAGCTCCTTCATGATGCGATCTCGAGGGATGAACTGCTCGAGATCCTTGACATTCTTAGTGAAATGAACCTTAGCAGCAACGACCGGATCAAGCCATCCTTTTATGATGTTCCAGATGCCTGTGCAGAATTAATTTAGTACATACGGCTTCAATTTAGGAACGAAGACAAACCAGAGAAGATCCAAGGCGCCTTGTGAATGAGCACAACCCCTAAAGATTCAGGATAGTTGGCCTCGAAGCATTTGATCATGAACTTGACCGGAGAGTAATCCTGCCGAGGTAAGTGAATGTTTACGGCAGATTGAAGATCGTGGGCATACCATATTCGCCAATGAGAAGTCGGTCATGTCGAAAATGATACACTAAAATGTGTCAGGTGCATCTCGGCGGGTTTGCCAGATTTGAGACTCACAGCTGTTTCGACGGGAGGCGCAAGCATCATGCGCGCCGATTCAATTGTGTAAACAGTGAAGCGGTCTAAGACCTCTTGACTTTGATCACCAGCCTTATGCAGGCGCACCCTGACGACGCAAATTGGCCGGCCTGATTTGTCGACACCGTGGAGGAAACTCTTTCCCCGACGCATTTGCATCAAGAATTCCTCACCAGCCTTCTTTTCAGCAGGATCGGAACTCTGCGACTGTTTGAGAGCATGCTGCTCGCCATTCTTCATGATATCGTCATCCACCTTCACATCCATCAACCTCCAGCGGATAGTAGAAATAAACATGACGAGAGCATTCTTGACATCCCACTTACGCGCCCGTAGAAAGCGTAAAAGCAGAGAATCGGGATTATCTTGTTTAACCATAGTCCAGAATGTTGTCCGAATGTCCTCCGGCGACATGTCAACTAGAGTTTGCTGGAACTCCTTCGACTGACCATACTTATCGTCTGCATCGGAAATATTGATAGATGCGAGGTTGGTTGTGATCCCTTCTGCTGATTTCTCGCTCGCGGTGCCATCTTCACTATCCTTGCCTCGGCCGAACAGTCCGAATCGTCGCTTGGGCTCTTTCTTGTTCTCCTGCGGCGCGCTGGCCGATGCTTCCCTAGCTGACTCCAGCGCATCAAGCTTAACGCCAAAGACTTTCAGAAGCAGCACCCAGAATTCCTGCAGTTTCGCTTCCTGCTCTGCCGTGAGATTCCCCACGGTTCCGGGAGGCAATTCGGTAGGCATTGTTTTAAGAGTATCGATGACGTCGAGAAATGGTTCCTGTTCAGGCTCGATATTCTGCGAAATTGATGGAGAAGGAGCGTCGTTCTTGGGATGAAAGCGCTTATCCTGTAACCAAACTCCTCCGCAAATGACAGCGAGAGCGAATGTAACTGTCCAAAATGATGAAGCCTTCCTCGGAGCGTTGTTCCGCGATGACGGTACAGTGAAGATCGATCGTCTAGCTAGGGAGCCTGAAACTGAATATGGCTTCGATGCGCCTTCAGCGAGTAATAATGGCAGGGAGAATGAGCGGAAATGGACAGAGTTGGCCGAAGAAAGGAGTAGACGGCGTCGAATAGACAAACAAGTATGCATGTGCTGAGAGATTAAAAACGAGGGCCTAGAGTGGGGTCCGTTGGGATGACTGTGATGTTGTTGGTTGTTGCTATCCTCAATTTCACGCCAGACTGGGCAAGGGCACACAAGGATGGGAAAATTGATGATTGTTACTAGTACGTAGTACTAAATAGTAGTGGTCCTATCTTGGCAACCTCGAACGATTTATAACATCATCTCTCTGTGGATGATCAATGCCGCAACGGACCCTCGGGGCGCCTCAATTCCCGATCCAATCGCAAACTGGAAAAGCGGGGGATCAACAATGCGGCGCCCACTGTTTTAATTAACGAGGCAGAACGCAATAAACACTCGATAGATATTATCTACCGATCTGCCTTAGGTCTTCAACAAATTCAATTCCAAACCAACCATTTACAAACTGCGTTTGATATCCTTTGCTGAGCTGCTCAACTATCTTGCTGGCTCGGCCCAATTCATCACGTGTTGTGATTGTTTATCGTTGGCCGCGCAACAACAAAGGCTTCCTACTCAGATTTCTGATTAGCTTTCCTCGAACATCGGTTTATTGTGAGAATCTATGATGGAAGCTGCTCTCACTCGGCCTCGGTCATCCTCGCGCCCGCGACCTTCGTCCAGGCCCACAACTCCTCTACGGCCCAATTCTCGATCGTCAATCCGCGAAGCACATGGATATGGGACGAGTATCAGCAATGCTGGCTACACGCAACCCGCAATCAATGCTCTCGAGCCGCAGTTTGCAGAACTTGCAGATTCTATGGCAGACCTTGAGGCGAACTTCATGCACCTTCAGTTGATGCACGAGAGTTTAACGCGTTTCAGCGAAAGCTTTGCCAGCTTCCTCTATGGTTTGAATATGAATGCATTCTGTGTGGACTTTCCGGAGGTATGTCGGACTAAGCCTTTACCTCTCATATAGTCCCTTGCTCACTAAGAACTAGGCACCAATAGCAGATTCGTTCCGGAGGGCTAAACAAGCTGAAGCTCAAAAAGGTATTGTCAAGTAACATTCGACAAAATTAACAAGACAACTATACTCACTAAGATTGCAGAGGCTGAAGCTGAAGAAGTTCGACGAGCTGTTGACGCTGAGGCAACGTTCATGTGAGTTACCCTTAAATCAAAGCAGCATTGCACATTGGATGTTCATTCTGACCACGATCCGGGGCCACAGGACGACAGATACCTCGTTCGTCGAGAATCCTCCTAGCACGATTTCCTCCAAGCCCACATCCAAATCCTCCGTCCCTTCTCGAGGAGCTACTCGGGGGTCTTCAACGCGCGGGTCGACACGCGGTCGCTATACAACGAGAGGGACTAATCGGGCTCGGCCCAGCGCATTGCCTCGAGGTAGAGGTGTTCGGTGAGAGCTGTTCTGGGAACAATAACGTTACAACCAAATATCCTCGTGTACAACTGTGCTCCATCAGACTTTGCCCATAAACTCAAGATAAGGAAGATTGGCAGCACTGCCGAGACCTGGAGATCAAGGAGCAGAGATCTGACGGAGAAGCGCCGGTCCGGCCCAATGTTGGAGGCACAGCTATACCAGATGAACCAGATCAGCCAGAAAGCTACAAAGCCGCTGGGCTGCTTCGCTAGCATGCAGCTGCCTCCATTCGAACCGTAGCCCTTCTCTTTCCATGGACTACTTTTGTTGAGATGGATTTCAAACTTGCCATTGCCACTGAAGCCAGATTAATGACATGGCAATGCGAGATAAAACTATCTTTAGAAATAATGGCCTACGCAATTCTTAGTTTTATTTCACAAGCGCAATATGAGACACTATAGAGTACTCCTTACCTTTAAATCTCCCACAAAGGCGGCGTCTCACCCGGGGTTGCGGATCCAGGCCCGGTTCCTTATCGCTCCGAGCGGCGGACCCTGAGGAGAAAATGATCTCTTAAACCAACATCAAGCCGTCCACAAAGCTTCTGTGGCGTCACATAGTTTCGGCTCAATAATCTTGAGGCAACACCTATCATTTTAACAAGTCTAATCATCTGCAGTTCAAGCTTTGCTTTTTATCAAGTGTTGTTGCTGGTACATCATTTGCTCCTCAGGTCGCTTCGGTGCTAATCCGATCCGCACGGCACACTTAGTGCTAGCAGGGGGACACTGAGGTTCACCACAGCCTTCAATAGACTCCAGCTTGGGCAACACAACGCTGAAGGTTTCTTTTGATTGAGAGGCTAGCCTCTGAAAGCTTCACAATGCGATTGTGAACTCATACAAGGTCTTTGACGACTTCTATTATGAATGCTTTGCATTCATCCACACTTCCTTCTTCGGCCGCAAGAGTCAAGGTATCTGTTGCTGGACGCCTTTCCCGGTCGTCTTATATATTTTGAAGCTCTTCCATTCAGACTCGCAAATCTTCTTTAATTCTTCTAATACCCTCTCATCCCGATATTTCCTTTCTACAACATCCTTGGAACAGCTTCATCTTGTGCTGTCACCTTCGTCACCATGGCGAGCATTACTTCAGCGTCCCTTCTCTCCGAGGCTGAGTTCGGTTGCGGTAAGCAGGCATCATCATGACACCGTTCTCTCTATAGATCTTCAAACTGACTAGTAGTAAGAGCATCTCGCCGCAATACTGACTCAGAGTGGAAACACTGCCGAGCAGTTCAAGAGCTCATTCCTTAAAACTCACAATTCTCTGGCTCCTAGGCCGTTACCTCTGTTTCCTAAGCCTTTAACGGTGGATGACTTCCCGAAGCAAAAGGGAGGTGTGCGTACTGCTTCTCTGCTAAGGCCAAAATACACCTGCTTGACTTGCTCTGGAGTGTGCGCCCCTGCCGATAGACAAGCTCATACGAAAGAGACTGGGCATCAGTTCTGTAAGTCGATCTAGTGCGACTTTACAGTAGAAGGTAGCTGACACCCGCAGACATGGAGTCAAGGGGGCGTACTCTATTCTGCCAAGGTTGCGGTGACTTCGTCTATGACCATGACTTGGAACGTCTTCGATCGTTACCTTATGGAAAGCATCAAGGTTCGCATCTTGTCTATCTTGATTGCATTCAACCTGCTAAAGTCCAGCAGCATCTAGGAGACGTAGATCAAGCGAAAGTTCATCGGATGAACAGTTTGTCAGAAATAACGCCAACAAGCGCGCTTGTGCAAAACAGGGCGTCCGAGGTCTGTACAATCTCGGACAAACATGTTATCTCAATGTCATCCTGCAGACTTTACTGCATGACCCCATCTTGAATGCCTATTTCTTGGGGAATGGCCATCAGTCGCACGATTGTACTCTCCAGGATTGCATAGGCTGCGCAGTTGCAGAAGCATTTGCCGACTTCAACAGCAGCGACAAAGCCGAAGGCTTTGCCGCATTGAATCTTCTGCTAGCATCATGGCGTGCAAGTCCCGTAGGTGGTTTCTTGACCGACTGCTACCACACTAAAATACTGACTCTTCGTAGACTTTGGCAGGTTACCATCAGCAGGACGCACACGAGTACTACCAATTCCTCGTCGACAAGTTACATACGAGCACTGAAGGACACGTGGATGACCACGACCAAGGGTGTTCTTGCTTTTTCCACCAAACATTTTATGGCAAGCTCAAAAGTAGTGTGATGTGTGATAATTGCGGCAACATTACAAAAACGGAAGATCCTATGCTCGATCTGAGTCTGGACGTTCAGGTACAGGCGAAGAAACGGGCCATGGGCGGCGGTGTCGGGCCCTCAGCGACACCTACACTAAATGGTTGCCTGGAGAGCTTTACGTCACCAGAAAGGCTGATGGCAGGTGTCTACAATTGCAGCGAGTGTGGCGGTACGCCTCAGAAAGCAACAAAGCGTTTGCGAATCAAGAAATTGCCGGCGATTCTCTGCATGCAGCTGAAGGTCTGTCTCTTCTCTCTGACGACCGCGGTGGACCTGGCTAACATGATATGCAGCGCTTCGAGCATAGCTCAGCGGTGTCCGAGAAAGTGGAAGGCAGGGTCGATTTCCCTTTGTCGATCAACATGCTCCCATATACGACACATCGGCACAGGGAGGACCTTGACAAATCCAAATTCATCTATGATCTCTCTTCTGCAGTCGTCCACAAAGGCAAATTGGACGCTGGACACTACTACGTCTACTGCAAGCAGGGCGACCAGGTTTGTCTATCCGTTATCTAGTGGCTTATGCCTCGTGTTTGCTCTTAGGAGACAACACATGACATTGTTGACTAACTCTTCTCTTGACAGTGGGTACTGTTCAACGATGATCAGGTCACTGCCGCCACCGAGGCTGAAGTCCTCAACGCCGATGCGTATCTCTTGTTTTACAATCTACGATTGTTTACTGCTTCTTTGCAGTAGCTCGTCGCATTGCCTCGGCACCCCTCAATCCTCCATAAAGAGGCAACCATCTTTGTTTTTCCCCTCCTGGGTCTAACGGACAGGAGTTCATGGTATCGGAGTTCAATTCGCGGGTCTTTATTTGAATTCCACTCGGGAGGGCCTCAATGTTACCTGATTGCATCTCTCCCATTAGGCAGACACTTAGAATACCAGGCTAAAATGGTCGCGCAAGACATGGCTTGGTGATTGCTAGAATTTGATTCCAGCAGATTTTCTCATCATATGTTCTACGAGGTAGAAATGCTACGTTGTGCGTTGAAAACGGGCAGTTTCGATAGGTAGCAGACACCGCACATCCCGTGTTTCTACAAGCAACCGTTGGCGACCACATGGTAAAGACAAGAATTTTGCCTGCACCATGGGTATGTTTCTCGAGTCGTAGAGTGTAAAAGGTGAAGTGAACCATGCCGGACCGGAGGGCTAGACGAAAGGAAAGCTCAACTATTGCAACCGACCGCTACGTCCATAGGTAGCTTTACTAGACAGGGTCGTCTACAGGTGGCATTGACCCAATTGAAGCCGTATTCGTCACATTTACCACACTGTTTCGCTATGGCGGGCTCGAGGTGTAGGTAAAGTAAGGTGGAAAGGACGGGAGAAAGATCCTCATGAATTCAATTTAAAAAATTGAATTGGAAAGATAAAAGGTTTCGACATAACACCTTTCGGGTTGTTCACACCGGCATCTCCTCTTCCTCTTTCCTATTTTCCCCCTTTGGAATTCAAGCGGATATGATTCCTTTTTGATTTTCCTCCATGGTAGCTACCGAGCGCCGAGCACGTAACGATTCGTCGTGAAACAGGAAATGGATCGAGAAAACAGATTTAACGGTACTGTATGAAGAGGTAACTTTGTTAGTGATCCGCTCTTTCTTCTGCCAACCAGTTCTCCGAGAGTGTCGTCGGTTTGACGCTGGCCATGGTGTTCCGACTTTGCGGCGTATGTGGGAACCAACCTTGTAGAAACCGATGTCCTGAGCCTTCTCACGGAAGCACTGTCTGCAGATGTCCATCTATAACCACTATCAGTCGCATGTCCAACGCGGGTTATTCTCGATAGTTGGCTCATTTCCATACCCCGTACTTGCGGATCAGACCAGCGCGGTGGGCGCAAACACGGCTGTTTCGACGCAAAATATCTGATTAGCCATTCCTGCTCGCAATTCATAATGTTTCGACCCTATCCTGCTGGTATCGCCTGGGGAATTTCGTTCACACACCATTCACGGGAACCCTTGCCGAACCTATAGAGAGACAACAAGTTAGCCAAATCGTATCGACGCATCCCAGAATTGAAGAATATCCTTACTTGCGGGGCCGGCTGTACCAAACGGACTCGTGAGTCATCTTGAATCTGAGACGAGGAAAACCTGGGGGTTGACGGTGTTTGGCAGGTGGTTTGTCGTCGCTGGCGCTGGGCGTTGAGGATAAAAGATATTAGGGTTGAAAATGCGTTGTGTGCCTATGTTCCGCTGCCGGGCTCGGGCCACCTCGCTTGAGGAGCGCTAAGCCATTTCTGGATGCATTAGGCTATAGTGGTCATGTGATTTGAGCCTCGCCTTTTTTGGCTTAGCGCCCCGCCTCCACGTCCACGGTGTTTGGTTTCTCCGCAGTGTTGGATATCAAAGCACCTGAATGAGCGAGGAACGACCTCACTCACGTCGAGGATAATCTTAAAGCCACCTCTCTTTATTATCACACGGTCGATGATTGGAAAGGAAGTTATACTGTTGAATCTGGTTACAAAGGACAGTTGACATACTTCTAGGCTTTTGCAAGTGCATATCCGAAGCCAATGCGGATGGGGGTGGTCAGCCCCTAACTCTGGAGAAGACACATCTTCTGGATATCGTTCACTGAATGGCGTCCAAATGAAACTGTTTCCGCGTTATTGCGGGTAGAAGCTGCGCACGCCCAACTACATCCATAGAGAAGCGCGCCCTGGAGGAAGCACATATGGTCGTCATTGTCACTAGCATGTGCTAGATCATTAAGCTGCATTTAGCCTGCAAATTGAAAAGCTTATGAAAGTCCGGCAAGCGAAGCACTACTGCACTGTGGTAAAAGTCGATCCAAAGTTGAGAGTGTGTATGGCATGTCACCAGTGATATGTGCCACACAGGCTTTGTTTTTGTTTCTGGCTGTTGAACAACGGTCCTACGAGAGAAGGTACTCGCGACACTCGAAGCAGAAGCAAGCATATGCGTCAAGATATGGAGGACTGGATACTGACGTATTAAGGGGTTGCAACAACAAACTAGCACATAGACCGAGTCTCAATGTCCTGTATTTTGCTCGCCTCAGCGTTCCAAAGATGTCTTCTGTTCACTTCAGCCGCCGATCACAGCTTGTCTAGTCTTACGTTTGTGTGCGCGACCAACAGCTGACTTTATCCACCACATGTGGACGAGGAATGAGAAAGTCCTGGTATGATTATGGATTGCGCGCTCACTTCGAGACTTAATTCCAAGCGTCGTGCAGGGTGTAGCTCGATGCAGGCTTGGAGTGATGTTTCTATATCGAATGGTCTCAGCTCATGGGGAGTTAGTTACCCCTGGGAAGAATAAGCCGGGGACTGGTATGACAATCCGGCATTCATTCGGTTCCAGGGCGCGGGATTACCCGTATCATATAGATACCTGGGTTAGATGTTGTCCTTGAATTCGTTCCGCAAAAGGAACTCACAAAGTCAGCAGGACCACGCCTCAGTACGGAGTATTGGAACACCTCGAAGCTCCTACATGGTAGCACGAGCCGCGGATCATCTCCTGAAACCCCGCTGATATTAGCAATGTGCCGAGTTTCCGATGTGGGAGGAATCAATTGCTGAGCAGTTACCAGTATCTATGCGCTACTACCCAGAAATGGGTCTGTTGATGACTCCAACATTGACTGGGGCCTCTGGGCGTGGCACGGTCACGGAGTAAAGTGCCGGTCTTCGCATAAGGCTTATGCTCTTGTGTTGAGGATTTATGTATCGCGCCAAAGTTTTGTGTAAACTGTAATACCCTACGTTTCTGAGAATGGTTTTGTGATATATCCGACTGTGTAAATAGAGTACCTGAAGTTTCCGAGTCCCCGAGTTCCGGCCGGCGATCATAAATTATAATTTCTAACTAGTTGGTCTTACCTGTCACCATGGCACGATTCACGAAGACCTCTCTGCAGGGAATGTGCCGCTGTGATGTGGTGCTCAACTGTACCGTGTAGGTACCACCCAGGTACTTTGGCAACTTCAGCCTATACTTCAGTTGTTCCGCGTGGAATTGAAAAGGGGTTGAATGAGTTTCCCGGGTACCGCATTACATTGATTAATACAGTACTGACACTGAAGGTGTCAATGTGGAGAGACACCAAGACTTCAAAGCTCGACCACAGTCATACGAAGTAGAGAACATGATGTCGCAGTATCTCGGCCATAACCAGAGGCTAGGGGTCTCATAGATATTCCAACATACGAAGTTCTCGACGATCGAGACCAAACCTGACGGAAAGCAGGTTGCCCAGAGTCTTCGCTGTTCCGGGTTGTGAGTCACACCACTCTAACAAAATTAGTAAGGACACAAGCATAGAAAGATCGAGAAACACATCAGGTCAGCAGGACCAGTTTGTCCGTCAACACCCATGAATTCCAAAAGACGGGTTGTGTCTTAGGGGATACGAGTGCGTGCATGTACAGTGATGCCCGTTGCGCCTCAAAGATCGGCTGTCCAGAACTTCGAGAACTTTATTCCTGAGAGAAACTGGACTGGGAGTCGATAGTTCATTCTCGCGGAAGCTCGCGGATGGCGGTGCAGGCCGATTCCTTAATCCGTTCTTACCAGCCAATCATGCCGAGAATGGATCGGCAGCGGGCGTGGGCTGTCAGATGAGTAGGCCTAATTATTGTTAGTCCGTGGTATTCAGGGAGCTCGTACGAAGTACTATCACGAGAACCCAACCGACTCGGGGCTGGCATAGGCAGTTTCGAAATTATTACCGATGCAGTCTTATTAATTATTTGATGTCGTGTCACCAACATTAGCCAACGTGCTTGGTGTTCCGCTTGGCGGGTCTCTTCTAGGAACAGATGAAGGGAACCTGAGACTTGATTGCAGCTAATCGGATTAATCGGCTGAACTCGGCGGAGTACTATGGATACATCCATGCCGTTTTTGTATACTCGCTTAAGGACTGGAGTGCCCCGTTCTTCTCATCTCCAGGTCATCTCAAGGACTCTAGATGGGATTCTTGGCGTAGTGTCTTTCCTGTCTTCAATGCAGATACTCCGTACTCTGCGCATGGGATACCTGCCCCTACCAGCATAACGTGACATCAGCTCATTCTCGGCTTCGCGTTGCCGGTAGGAAGTGTTTTGCGCCTTGGCGCTGAGTGGGAATGCACGAGTGGGTAGTTATCTACCAACTAGGCTGACAAATGACAATAGCGGATGATCTTGAAGAACAATTCCAGGGAAGAGGGGTCCAAATCTCGGACTTCGGCTTGGCAGTATCTTTCTCTACCTTAAGTACATTTCTTTTTTGCATCACGCGCAAATAAATTCATTCCTTATCAAGTAACATTTGATGTCTTTGCCTTGATATAAATGCAAGGAGAAGATGAATGAGCCCATGTAACTGCCTATATTGTCGCTCTGCATTGACGACTTCCTCATTGTACTGAGTCGTATGTGTACGTGTTTACTTACCCTTCGTGCCGTCGAATGAATAAGTGCCTTAGACTGATAGATTTTCTGCTCTGTCGCACGGTTTACAAATCATGGTAACACCAATATTGTGCCTTTCTCATTATTAGTGTTGTTAGAGATTGGCAGAGGCCCCAACTCCGTAACAGGGATGCTGGTAAGGCAGAACGTTGTCGCTCGGCACAGGCCACTTTCATCCAATCTTTGTACTCTTACGGAATTACAGAAACAGCGAATCAAAATCCCTGTAATGATCAAATGACACCTTCTGGCGATAGGCAGTTGCTCAAAGAATCAGGCTGGAAACGCTGGGCAGAAGTAGTAGGTACGTTGAGATAGCATGAGCCGCACCGATCGGATCAGACCATTAGCGGTGAGTGCCCAGTAATAAGCATCTGTTGGATAACAGAAGAATTGAAACTTTGATCGCTTTACTCGCAGTGTTGTTGCTCTCAAAATATAATCCAGTCCAAAGGGACGTACAAATAGAGTAATTTGGCCCCGTCATCGAAAGAGGTCAATGCCTGATCCCTAGTAGCTCCGATTCAGCCGCTAAAGCGCAGCTGGTAGCCTTGGTACCTTGGAATGAGGTCATCCCACGGCACGGACTGGGCCAATAGTGACTTCGATGGATTGTCACGCACTAGTCCAGGATTGGTAATTCAAGGATAAGGCGGGATGATGCCTCCCGGTGGATCCGAGCAGCCGAGAAGAAAATCTTTCTGTTTGTTCATGTTGTTCTTCCGTTGGAAAGGTCTGGATGGTAATTGCTTGTTATTGTTGCTATTGGACTGCTGTTGAGAGTTGTGTTTGTTTTTGTAGTCTGCTTCAAGCTCAAGTACGTGCTTGAGGCATTGCTGTCGAGAGGACATCAGTGATACCAACTCTGACATCATGCGAATCAGTAGGAGATTCCAGGTGATCCTGGGATACATACTCTGTAGTTCCCTGGCGTTCCAGACCGACCCATGCTGAAAACGAAAAATAAGAGAAAAGAAAAATTCTTACCAAAGACCCTCAATTACTCACACAAAGTCCCAAAGACTCCGCATGATGACGGCCTCTATGTCACTCCGGAGCTCTGATCCAGGTAGAAGGGCTATAAGCGACGAAGTTATCGTCATCACCACTCATAGTCAGCATCATAAAATGGCATGATATTTTTCAGCGCTTGATACTTTCTATATCGAAAAGCACCACGACTTTATCAAAATAACGGACACAATCAGGATTATTCGAGCCGAGCAGGGTAGCGCTAGGTAATTATTCTTCTCCACCGCCGTCCTATTCGGCATACGGAGCTTTGGGGAGCTCCTTTGTTTCCACGTCCTTCTCGGCGCAGGGCGCATCTTATCCCCGCCTGCTCCGAAAGAATCAGAGCGAAGCTCCAAAGATTAAAAAGTCATCGGCGCGTATAAAGAGAGAGGAAAAGGGAAAAAATAAAAAATACAGAGAGAAATTCTGGCCTCGCATCTTACCTCTTAATCTCACTTCCCCTCCCCTGGCTCCCATTCCATTCTTACTTCTTCCTTTCCCCTTTTCCTTCGGCAGTCTCCTTCCATACTTCAGCCCTACAGGCATACCTAACGTAAACTATTGCGCGCCAGAGCCGGTAGCAGTTGAACGCCGCAACTCGTACAGCTGCGGTTTTGCGCAATCAGAATTTCTCACAACCAGGCCATCGGAATAGCCATCAGGCGAGCTGGAGCTTAGGTTCCTCAACTCCAGCTCTCTGTAGTCGCTGCCCACCGAGAACAACCTTCTAGCTCAGTCCTTATCCCCATAATACACTAAACAAACCACCCATGCTGCGAGCAGCATCCCGCGCCGCATTTGCGGCCTCCTTCTTACTAGTAACCATCGCCAATGCGCTTCCTCACGGAGACGATGAATCCATGGAAATGGACATGGGTATGAACATGGAAGAAACAGCAAAGTCGGAGCCGCCTAAAGACGCAAACGATGAATCCCCCATGAGTTATTTCGCATACGGAAAGCATTCGGGAACCATAATGGCTCACATCGCTCTCATGATCATTGCATGGTGTTTCGTCCTGCCTACAGGTAAGAAGTCCCAGCAACCGCCATCTTCCGGACCTTGCTGATCAGTGCTGTATAGCCGTCATGTTCAGTATCGCGCGCTCGCGATTTGCACTGCCGTCGCAATTTGTCTTCCTGGTGTGCAATGCCTTTGGTTTGCTTATTGGAATTATCTACAACAGTCAGACACCTGATCTTTATGAGAACAATGCTCATCACAAGATGGGATGGATTGCGACCTGGGTCATCAGCGCACAGGTCGTTATGTCGCTGATCTTCGCATATGCTGGTAGAGGCGAGAGAGTAAAGGCATACGAGCAGGAAGCATTCCTCCCTGTGCCCACTGATGAAATGTCTGATAATTTACATCCTTATCCGTCGGGGATCCATCATGCCTATCGCTGGTCAAAAGACAGCGGCCAGGGCACCGAAAGAAACTCCTCCCTTCACAGTCGGCCAAGTTCACCTTCCTGCTCATCTCCGTCGGAAGAATATGATACCTTTGAGAAGCCCGAGCAAGTGCTCGAGAAGCCTGCTGACGGCGGCTGGCTACATAGCACCATTTTAGGTCGCTTTTTCGCCAGTCGCGTGCCTGGCATGGTATCTAGTCGCGTCCTCCGGGTCTTGAATGTTGTATCCTTGGTTATTGACAGGATTATCCTGCCTTTCGGCTTCGTCGCTATTGCAACCGGTGCTGTAGCTTATGGTGGCATCATGGTAAGCGCCTTCCCTCTAGATCCCAGTTGCCCCGATGTAAGACGGCGCTAATCGAGTTCACCTGCAGCGGGGAAGCGAAGTCTTCAACGGTCTGGCGCACTTCATCAAGGGTGGAATCTTTTTCTGGTACGGTCTGTTGACCCTGGGCCGCTGGATGGGCTGCTGGGCAGATTTTGGCTGGGCGTGGAACGTCAAACCCTCGAGCTCCATCGTCGGCAAATGGAAGGCGAAGATTCCTACTGGCGAGTTTACCGAATCCTTTGTCATCTTCCTTTACGGGGCAAGCAATGTCTTTCTGGAACATCTGGCTGGCTGGGGGGGCGCATGGACTGCCACGGACCTTGAGCATGTGTCGATTTCGATCATGTTCTTCGGCGGTGGCCTGTGTGGCATGCTATTCGAATCCAAGCGCGTCAGAGGCTGGTTGAACAGCACTGTTCTACAATTTCCCGCTCATGCCGGCGTACATGGTTCGGCAGACCCTGCTTGGCAGACCCCTGACACGCAAGGCGTCTCCCTCAATCCAATGCCTGCGCTTGTTATCCTGCTTTTGGGAATGATGATGGGATCTCACCATCAAACGAGCATGATTTCGACCATGGTGCACAAGCAATGGGGAAATCTTCTCGTTGGGTTCGCCTTGGCTCGTGGCATGACGTATGTTTTACTATACCTCAAGCCTCCGACCTCCTATCTTCCGTCGCGTCCACCAACTGAGATTGTGGCATCCTTCTGTCTGATTGCTGGCGGGTTGATCTTCATGCTAAGTGTAAGTGTCTCGTGTCCCTCGCTTTCCTCCTTTTTCAATCCACGAATTGTTACTGATCTTTTTCGGTAGACCCGCAATGTTGTTGATAGTATGGAATACTATAATCTGGATGCGATGTTCACGTTCACTGTGGGAATGGGAGTGACCGCCTTCATCATGGCTTGTGAGATTTTGGCTATTGCCCTCAAAGCTTGGGCGGTGAAGAAGGAGTCGCGACCACAACTGCCGCCTTACCAGTTCCCCGCCGCCTGAATCATTCCGAAATGATTCTGCAATGCCCGTCGCTAGATCAATTCTTCACACCTCAGCATGAAGTTTTCGACACGACCCACGGAGAAAAGAGGGAAAAATGGAAGAGCAGAAAATAACACGGACAGGATGAACTGGAGGATATAATGTTTACTTGTGATCTCTTTATACCCATTACACTATTTGACTTCTATGGCCAGGTGTTTGGCTTTGGGTGACATGACATAATACCCGATATACCACAGCCCGGGTTTTCACATTTTTTGATGCATTGTGATGTTTATGAACGATACACATGGTTTACGGAAAGGCTAATGAGGGGCTGTTGATAACCAATGATATGTCCAGATTTTTTGGGAATACGTAATACCTAAAGGCCTCTTATGGTCTTACCTAGTGGATATAGGATGAAATAAACCATGAACAATTGTACAGAGCCTTGTCCAAGTGCCACCTCCTGAACCTGATTTTAAAGCACGAGCCAAGCAGAAGTTTAGAAGTTTCTTTAGGTGGAGGTTCAGCCGCTGGAATAGCCAATCGTCCTCAGCAAGGCACGGTTTGCTGCTACTCCATATCATTTGAGGCTTTGAACTAATTCGCTCTAGCGGATTTAAAATGATTTATCTATTTATCCCCGAGCCTCCGCCGATGGGGAGGGAAAGCTTAGCCATACTCCCGATTACCCGATGCTTCAATTACCTCGGTGGCTTGGTGGAGGTCAACAATGTCAGACAGACGTTGCAGAGGGAAGATGTGACAAGGCCCGGTTAATGTCCCGCAGCTATTGAAACATGATTCTAGATGTATCAATGGACAAGGCACTTCTGTCGAAGCTGTAACACAGGATGGCCTTTACCTGGCAGTGTTGTAGTACATGGAAGAGTAAACAATTAGTAAGCGTCAATGAGGGGCAAGAGTGGGGAGAGCGGGCGGGCTCCTGCGTCGAAATCGAATTGGATGGATGTTCCTTGATGTTTCTTCGGACATTTAAGAGGGACGACTGCCCCGCGTTATCTAATCAGCTATTTTTCGCATATTTCACAGTCATTGTCAAACCTACGCTCATCACACGGTTTTCTATACTCATATCCAGTAAAGATGGCATCCAACCCTCCCGGAGCTTGCTGTGCCTCTGGCTTCAAGCACGAAGGCAACCCCGCTGGGGAGATCAAGACTGTCGAGGGTGGTAAGTAGCCTTGCTACTCCTTTCTTGACACAAATGGTCTCGATGCTGAGTCTTCAAAGTTGAAACCTACATCTCATACCCCAAGGACAACAAGAGCCCCGAGAAGGCCGTCGTCATATTGAGCGATATTTTCGGTATCTATGTCAACGCCCAGCTGCTTGCCGACGAATTCGCTTCCAATGGATACCTCGCCGTTATTCCCGATCTCTTCCACAAGGACGCTATAAAGCTCAGTGACATGGAATCCGGCAAGGCTGATCTTCCCGCCTGGCTTCCTAAGCACCAGACCGCCAACGTCGACCCTGTCGTCGAGTCTACAATCAAGTACCTCAGGCAGGACTTGGGAGTCAAGAGAATCGCTGGTGTCGGTTACTGCTTTGGTGGAAAGGTAAGCTCCATGCTTTGAGAACTGCAAGGTGCTTTTGTTGGTGCATCCCGTTCCTGACAAGGCTCTTTCGTTCAGTATGTCTGCCGCTTCTTGAAGCCCGGTAAGATCGACGTCGGTTACACCGCTCACCCCTCCTTTATCTCCAAGGAGGAGCTCGCTGCCATCGCTGGTCCTCTTTCTATCGCTGCCTCTGGTAAGTTGGTTCGCGAGGATGTGTTAGGTTACTATCAAGATCATGACTGACGTTCAGAATTTGTTAGAAATCGACAATATCTTCACCACTCAGCTCCGTCACGAGTCCGAAGATATTCTGATCAAGACGGGTCAGCCCTGGCAGATCAATCTGTTCAGCGGTGTTACGCATGGCTTCGCTGTCCGTGCTGACTTGAGCAACAAGCACTTCAAGTTCTGCAAGGAGCAGGCCTTCTACCAGGCTGTTGCGTGGTTCCAGCAGTACCTGTAGTCTGATGTTACAAGTCAGACATATATCTCATATATAATTGGTCATGATTTAATGAGCTAGAAGAAATGAGACTGCAACTTTTCAGGATCAACTTTCGTATTTATCCATGGCTGAGAGATACCCGGGCAGATAGCGTTTATCGCACACGTGACCACGTGATCCGTGTCGCTGAAAGGGCCCACTCAGACAAAGTAAAGTAGCCTCAAAGAGCCCTGAGCATTGATTGTTTTCAGTCCAAATCCAGTGCTCTGCATTACCTCCTTGTATTTTTTTCGAGTTCACAGTTCAGTCTTGCAGATTTATATTCTTTCGACTATCTCTGCATAAAGCACATCGAACTTCAGAGTTGTGTGGTCCGCATCGCATGTTTTTGGCTTCTGCATTGTTTGCATCCATCCTAGACACTGACACTGGACACCGGCAATTCTGGTTTACGACATATAGTGCATTGTCCTTGACTGATTGATGAATCACGACCTCTGTTCCCTCGAATCCCTTGTCTGATTGCTTCTTCAGTTGTAGCGACGTCAACCCTTTTCCTTCGATCTCAACACGACAGCAGACTTCAACACAAACCAAGCAGAATACTCATCCACCTTATTCCTACGTTGACCATCGCCTTTGACATACTAAATTCGTCGCGCATTCTGTGGATTGGGAATTTTGTGTCATTTCTCTACCAAGCAACATGGCGACCCCGGCCGCCTTACCGCCATTACCATTCAATCCTACCAGGGTGAGATCGTATGTGCTCCGATTACCACTTTTCACACGCCTTGTGCTATTGGTCATCGTTGCATTTTGGCTGCTCGAGCTACAAACTATATGGAGCGTGGTACAATGGGGATCATTGACGCCGAATGAGATCGGAATCGGTAGCAGTATGTCCATCTCGGCCACGCGGGCCAATCTGCAGTCGATTGTTACGTCTTTGCGTGTGAACGGTTCTGACGCCAGAAAATAGTGTACCGACTAAACACCTATCCATTTATTCACGTCGGCTTTTTTCACGCTTTCGTGAATCTGCTAGCCCTCACACCGTTGCTGGAGCGATTCGAAGCTGAGCATGGTACATTGACTGCAGTTGCTTTATTCATTGGCCGTATGTCCTCCCAGTTCGGATTCAGGAATCACGGAAAGGCCCTATCAAGGATACCTCGGCTTGCAGTGGGCTAATATCTATGCGCAGCTCTCTCAACCTTCCCTGCCGGTATATACATCCTGATTGAGAAATTCATCCTGCACAGCAACACTGCTGTGGTTGGGGCAAGGTGATATTTGGAGACCTCCTTCTCGGAAGTGAAAGTATTTCTAACATATCCTTAGTGTCTGGATTTTTCTACTGCTGGGCTCCGAAGCTATTAAGACGTTTAAGTCAAACCCATACTTTAGGTATCTCAACTCGGAACGAGCCACGATGAAATCTACAAATCATCTAATTATGCATAGTCTTGGGACAACGAAGATTCCGACTTGGACGTCACCGCTGTTCGCATGTGCTCTCATATCGATATTCGTGCCGAACACGAGCTTCTTGGGCCACCTGAGCGCTATTATAATAGGCTATCTACGTGAGTATTGTCTATTGTTGTGCTCTGTTGCTTTGCAACTAATGTGTCATTCTCTAGTCGGCCTCGGGTATCTCAAGGTGTTTGTTCCACCAGAAAAGATCCTGAGATGGATTGAGGGAAAGCTGAACCTCCTGGGACGACTGCCACATTATGTGTCAGTAGATCAAAAAACCTATGGTCGTTATGGTGTCCTTCCTACGGCGACGGCGGCCGTAGGGGGTGAGAGGCCCACTCCTCTGAGCTATCTGGGCACGAATCAGCGCCTCGGTCCTTGAAGCTACCACGCTCAGCAGGAAGAAATTTCAATTTTGTGTGCATATTAATCAATAATATACTTGTTAACGAAGCGTTAAGTGTATCAGCTAAAATTTGTCAACTCATTTGCTTTACTTGTAATCTATTAGAGCGAGTTGTGTAGGTGGTCACTACCGGCCGACGTAAATTTAGATACCATCTATTGCGGAGACGATGGTTGCAATTCATTCAACTTGCCCTCCAAGCCCTTTTACAACAACACTCGGCATGGGAAGATAATTCCGAATGTCTTCAATTCCATGGCATTAAAATGTAAGTTGAACAGTTCAAATTACGCGAAGCGACTTGGTTTATAGACAATGTTTATCTCAATGCGCGCGATGCATCCCCTAGCCTCCACCCCAGAATGCCATCAGAGGGAGCTTCAGATAGACCTAAGCTGACAGTGACCGGGTCACAGCCGTGATCCGCAAATTGCGGAGCAATCCTCAGTTTCTCTTCGTACGCCTGCCGTATATACTTTCTCTTCTTTGCATAATCGCAGGAGTGGTCTGGCTTCTTCTTCTTCCCCTCGAGGAATACGCCCGTCGAACATACATCTCCGAGAATGCGCTCTTGCCTGGCCAGGTCCATGCGTACTTCGCAGGCAGCGAACAGAATATCTTCCGCGGGTATAAGAAGGAACTCGAAAGTTTGCTGAATCCTGGGGATCAGGGAGGTCAGGAGCCGAAGGATAGTGAATTGACACCAGTGTACGTTGAGACGTTGCTGCAACACCTTCTTACTGCCTAATGGTGTGGTCTGGTGGTCACATTGCTTATTCCAAATCTGCGACTAGAATTTCGGTTCAGATACAGTCGATCTTGCGAGCGGCAGGGTTGAAAGTTGCGACGCAGAAGTACGAGTACACTTCTTCGGGTATCACGCATGAGGGACAGAATGTCTACGCGATCATCCATGCGCCACGGGGCGATGCAACGGAGGCGATTGTGCTGGTTGCTGCTTGGAAGACTGTTGATGGAGAATTGAACTTGAATGGAGTCAGCCTTGCGCTGACGCTGGCAAGATACTTTAAGCGTGGGTCGAATCTTATCGCGATGCGTTGTCGGGAAGGGTGTCATTCGGGACGCGCTGATGACGATCGTCTCTAGGTTGGTCTTTGTGGTCCAAAGATATCATTTTTCTGTTTCCGCCAGACAGCAAATCCGGAACGCAGGCGTGGATCGATGCGTATCATGACATGCAACCGTCCTCGGTCCAGCCTCTGCCACTGAAGAGCGGTGCCCTACAGGGAGGACTCGTTATTGAATACCCCTTCGATCATCGATTCGAGTCTTTACATATCGTCTACGATGGCGTCAACGGGCAACTGCCCAATTTGGATTTATTTAATACGGCCATTTCAATCGCCGGGGGTCAGATGGGCATCGGAACCAGTTTGCAGGAAATGTGGGAGCATGATGATAGCTATCAAAAGCGCCTGCAGACAATCCTCAGGGGTATGGTCAAGCAGGGCTTCGGACACGCTACTGGAGCACATAGTAGTTTCATGCCGTACCACATCGATGCGATCACTTTGCAAACGAAGGGAGATGGCTGGCAAGATGAGATGGCTCTGGGTCGAACTGTGGAGAGTCTCTGTCGCAGTCTCAACAACCTGCTCGAACACCTTCACCAGAGTTTCTTCTTCTATCTGCTGATGCACACCAATCGCTTCGTCAGTATAGGTACTTACCTTCCAAGTGCGATGCTAATTGCTGGAAACTTCACTATCATGGCGATTGCTTTGTGGATGCGTACGGGCTACTATATGCACGCTCACGCGACCTCTACCACGAAAGGAGAAGGTCCCCAGGATAAGAAGACTCCGGCCGATCAAGCAACGAATACGGAGAAAAATAGCGAATTGAATGCCGCAAATCCCAAGGAGCTACCGAGTCCTGGCAGTGTCCTGGAGCGACAGTTAGCGCTCCCGCTCACCCTAGTTATCGGGCTACACCTGCTCGGCCTGGTCCCTCTTTTCATCTTCAATAACATTCATCACAAGGTCAGTCTCCTCACTCTTGCACTGACGTAGTCCTGCAAGACTTCTAACAACCGACAGTACTATACGACCGCGACCTATACTTGCCTCGGAGCCGGGGTCATCCTCCCCCTGATCGTGTCAGTCCTCTTGAACCATGGGTTCACTTCTCCTCCAACAACTCAGCAATATCTCCTGACTAAATCCTTCTCCCTCCTTCTCCTCGGCCTGTTCCTCTCTACCCTTGCCACATTGAACTTCTCTCTTTCCTTCATGGTTGGCCTACTCTGCGCACCACTTAGTTTCGTCAAGTGCGTCAATCCCCAGACCAAAGCCGCTCTGCGGTACTCCATCGCTATACTTGGTTTGCTAGCCTTAAATGTCCTTTCTCCTCCTGCGATTCTCCTTGGGGCATGTTGGTACTCAGGCGTGTCAGTTGAGTCAGTTCTGACTCAGGCAGCATTCGGATGGAATGTCTGGGGTATGTGGACACAGGTGGTTGTATGGTGTGTCTGGTGGCCTGCTTGGGTGGTTGGATGTGTCTTACTAGGATCGTCTCTTCTTTGAATCCTGGGGTCAGATATCACTCGACATTCAGGCTATTGTTCATACACCACCCTCATATTATTCAATATGTATATCGTTGCCTTTGGTATTTTATAATTTATCTAAAGGTAGGGCTCATCCTTGACTGGAAAGGTCCAATCGCTCTCGTTGTTTTCTAGTTATTCAGAGTGTATAAGGTTCGTACATAAATGCAAAACAGTACCCTTATAGTACCCTCGAAGGCCAGAAACACGGGCTCATAAACGGGTACCTATCGTTACGAGGTTCACTTTCTAGGCAGCCCACACATCCTTACCAACTCCCTCGATCCAGTGACCCAGCTGATTCACACCAGCATCCCAATCCTTGAGTCTATTGCGCATGCCTTCAATCTGCTTCATATCCAGAACCTTGGGCTGCACCCAGTGAATCTGAGCGACTTGCGCAACCTGATCAATAGCACCCTTGAGAAGACCCAGGGACAAAGCCTTCATGACCAGGTGCTCGATCTCCTCAGGCTTGACCTTCGTCTCGGAGGAGATCGACGCGAATGTGAGGTTGCGGTCGTGCGGGGGTCGGCGGAAGACCATTTCCGTGAGTGCTGACAGGGAGATCTTCTGGTAGAGAAAAATGCGATGCTGCTCGAGCAGCTTGTTCTTGGAAATGTTGCCGGCCAGGACATCGTACGCAGTAAGGTCGCCACGGTTGAAGGCAAACAGGAGGTCGCGCAGCCAGCTGTGCGGCGTCTCGGTGAGCGAGTCCAGGATCGGGTGCAGGAGGAGTTCACCAAAGTTGTAGATCGTGTCGGAGACGAGGGCGGCGACACTCAGGCTGTATGCGCGGGAGACACGCTCTGACTCGCTGAGATCCTCCAGGTTGATGCAGGCTAGGTAAAGAAGGGCGTTTTTGTAATAGGCGGCGAATTCTTGTTTGGCCTTCACGTACGTTCATGGTTAGTTCGGGAAAGAGGAATAATGCGAATTGGACGTTCAACTTACGTGGTAGTAATCTGCGTTGACCTTGTAAAAGGAAGCGTGCACCACCGTCTCGACCGAGTCGAACGAGTCCAAAACCTTCTGGCATACTTCCAGATCTTTTTGCGCTCCATCCAGGTCCTGTAGTCGCTGCTTCACGTTTGCAACTTCCGCAAGGGCATACACGTGAGCTTCTTGTGTGTCGGGTTTGTTCACTTTGTCGGCAAGTGATGTAAGGAAGGAGAGTCGCTCTTGGTCATCTGTCATCCCATTGACTGTCAGTCAAATGCTACCTTGCGTTCTCCCTTTCTAGCTAGAAAGAATATGGATCTCAAACGAACCTGCGCATTCCGTTGATGCCATCAAACCCAACGAGACGAACTTCAGCTGATTGATCTTGTCGGCGAAGCTCAGAACAAACGTCTTGAATATCGGTAACCGTTGAGGAGCGCTTTCAGGTAACTGGAAGAACTCCACCAGAGCGTTGGTCAATTGATGCCATAGTTTTCGTTCCCAAAAATCTTCAAAGCTAAGGAAGAAGGCCTGGCTCTGCTCTGGAGCTTGTTGCAGCTGGTCTGCCAGGAAATCGGAGATCTTCTGGTTCTCCATGGTGGAGAAGTGAAGGAGAGATGCTGGTTTCGCGGGACGCGAGGATACGGACGGTAGGAAGGAAGAAGAGACTCAAGTATTTGAGATGAAGAGATAATTAGTGGCGGAGGAGAAGACAGGGGAATTGGTTCTATGAAATCGTGAGAGCAAGGATGCTTAGGTCTTAGAGGGCGGCGTTGCGTAGGAGCTTGGGCGGTGTCTCTGCGCCGCCGTAGTACCTCTTAGTGGAGAGATGACATCCCTACAAGCTACGCCTACAAAGTACTCCATCGTCTACTGCGTTTTGTAAATGCTTTCCAGCAGGTAGCATCCTGGACCACATGGGAACTCTGTGTCTTAGCGTGTGTTATTTTCAGGTGCTAGAGAGGCACCTCCCCTGTCTATGGTAACATGATATCAGTCCGACTAAACTGTTCCAGGACCCCGGTAGTGGATCTAGCAATCCGCCTCTAGCAATAATAATGTGTCCGATATGTCTCCGAATGATGGTATATATACGGCAGTTTTAGCGTTGCCAACTCAACATAACCTCTTTATTACTCTATAGTAGCTATCTTGAATTGAGTGAAACCGATTATAGCGCTCTTACTCTCTTTCCTTGCATTTCTTCCACATCAAATCTTTTCACATATCGCTGAGAAGGCTTCCAACTCCTTACGATGTCGGACTTTACCGAGTTGAACAGACAATATTTCAGGTCAGTCGACGATCATTGCTGATGCAGAGTACCTTTCTCACAGATTCACACAGTAAACTAGCTAGTTCCTACAGGGAGGAATTCCGACAAGGCCAGGAATTGATCTTCAATGAGGTTCAAGGGCGTCGCTCATGGATCAGTGATACCTGGAGCGACACCGAGTCGGGAAAAGGTCACAAAGTCAGGATGCTCGAGTATGCTTGCGGGCCTGGTGCTGTCTCCGCAGTATGTATCTCAAACAGACATCTAAAGTGATGGAGGATGCTGCTGAATCTGAAAACAAGGCGCTAGCACCGTTCGTCGACCATATTGTTGGCATGGACGTATCCGAAGAAATGATTAAGCAATTTAACATCAACGCCCAAGAAACGGGCTTTGCGGATAAGATGCATGGCTACCACGGCGACCTCCTCACTGAACCCGTGCCGGACCATCTATCTGGGCCTGAGTTCTTCGGTTTCGATCTCGTCGCTGTGAGCATGGCCCTTCATCACTTTGACAAGCCTGACATGGCGTTGAAACGCCTTGGTGAGCGGCTGAAGAAGGACGGCATGTTCTTGATTATCGATTTGGTACCGGGGGATGAGCACTCCTCAAATAGCCTGCAGAAGGCATTCCCCCAGGCAAGCGCGACAGTTAGAACACATGGCTTCAACTCGGAAAACATGCAAAAATTGTTCGAAGAAGCCGGAATGGGCCAGAAGTTCGACTACCAGGTCATTCAGGAGCCGGTAGTGTTTAGAAAGGAGGGAAAGGAGCTCAGTAAGACTATTTTCATCGCTAGAGCTCAGCGCAATTAGTACCGCCGTTAGCTTCTTAAGCATGTTCGCTTTTATGTCTCAGACTGTGATGGTTGTACCAATGACAGCATGAGGGCGTTTGCAGGCTACAGGGTAGTCAGTTCAGTAGAGATGAGCTCCCACAGGAAGCTCAGAGTCAGACGCCCGAGCAGAACGAGGCGGCTTCGGATGGCCAAAACATTTCAAGTATCAGAAAGAGGTCAAGGGAAGTATATACACCATCAGTTCAAGGTTGGTCACCATCGTCCAATCAGAATTTCCGAATAGTCAGAGGGGGATCCGTGTTTGAGGGCACAAGATGGCAGTATCCCAGCATATACTCGCATTAAATTAGACTTTGAATGGGAATGTCACTCGAGATTATCCAATTCACCTCATGGAGACGAATAGTCTGCAGTAAATTCCTACAGTGCAAGAGTAACTATTGATCGTAGGTCATTGACGTTGCTGGAGGTTGTTGACCGAATTTGGACTAGTGCGAAAGTCCCGTGCTGCAGTTCGCTCTCTGGAGAACGACTTTCCAGCATCAAGCCCGAAACTCACCAGCCGAGCTGTGCTCTCACCTCCATCTCTCTCACAATCCACGCAATACCGATCCGGACACAACACGGTGGTCTCATTCGGACCGCGAGCTGAAGAGAGACCATGCAGAAGTGCCGGGCCGTCAATTCCGCTCTGGGCTCGAGGGCATTCGTCCCCGCCCCTCGGGTCCAATTCCAAGTGCAGCGCCGGAATCTCCAGGATGTCGCGATTACTCGAACTGGGAAGCCAATTCTGAAGGTTCAGGGTGGACGGTGAGAGCAATTGAGTCGGAATTGTTCTGTAGCTGGGATGCTAACAGGCAGCTTTGTTATAGGTCCTCTCTCGGAGGTATGACAGTCATGGCCAGCAATTCACGTCGCTTGCAGCTCGCCTAACATGAATCCCTTTGCTTTAGGTCATACCGCTACTGTTTTCGGTGCCACTGGCTTTCTCGGTCGCTACATTGTCAACAAGCTCGGTAGGTCAACGACGTGACCCGCAGGGTGGAAGCAGATGTTGACTCGCAACTAGCCAACCAGGGATGCACGGTTGTTGTACCCTTCCGCGAGGAAATGACAAAGAGACACCTCAAGCCGACTGGTGACCTCGGAAGAGTTGTCTTCATCGTACGTGGGCGTCTAATCTCGGAGGCGTTGAGGCTGTTTTCCAGGGCTAAATCGAGCATCACTTAGGAATACGACCTGCGGAATACCCAATCTATCGAGGAGAGTGTCCGTCACTCCGATGTTGTCTACAACCTTGTTGGTCGCCAATATCCCACGAAGTGAGTGGCCGCGTCATGTTTTTCATGGGGTCGGGAAAGAGGGGGCACGGCTAATGCTTCAGCAGGAACTTCTCCTACACCGACGTTCATGTCGATGGAACTGAGCGCATCGCCGAGGCTGTCGCCAAGTACGATGTTGACAGATTTATCCACGTCTCCTCCTACAACGCCGACAAGAACTCGCCCTCCGAGTTTTTCAGGACAAAGGTTTGTTTCGGTCCCCCTGCGAGCGGTAGCTGCATGGAAATGCTGATTGATCGTACAGGCATGGGGTGAGGAGATTGCTCGGTCAATTTTCCCCGAGACTACCATCGTCCGGCCTGCTCCCATGTTTGGTTTTGAGGACAATCTCCTCCACAAGCTCGCCGGTGTCACCAACCTCTTCACTTCCAACCGCATGCAGGAACGCTTCTGGCCCGTTCACGTAAGCTCAGCACCAAATTAACAATTCGGAGCGTGACGCTTATCATGTTATATAGGTCATTGATGTTGGCTCTGCCCTCGAGTTGATGCTCCACGACGACACCACTGCCGGCCAGACTTTCGAGCTCTATGGGCCGAAGAACTACTCTACTGCGGAAATTGCTGAATTGGTTGACCGTGAAATCGTCAAGCACCGCCGCCACATCAACGTCCCCAAGGCTGTCCTGAAGCCTATGGCTTACTACCTGAACAAGCTCCTCTGGTGGCACACCATCTCTGCTGATGAGGTGGAGCGGGAGTTCATTGACCAGAAGATTGACAAGACTGCCAAGACATTCAAAGACCTCGGTATTGAGCCCGCCGAGCTCAGCGACCTAACCTTCCACTACCTGGTAAGTCATTCGCCCTCGTTTAAGTTGTTAACGATACTAATCCCTCCAACAGAAAGGCTACAGAAGCTCCTCCTACTACGATCTGCCTCCCGCCACGGAGCGCGAAAGAAAGGAGGAAAAGAAGTACTTGCACGTTCTTGACGACCAGTAGTTGTCTCTGTTTCTTTTAAGTGTGTACATAAGTTTACTAGACCCAGACAATTTCCTTGTGTTATCCTCAGTGTGCTAGGTCCATCCATTCAGTAATGACGTAGTTGAAGAGGCTGCAAGGGAGCCGTAGTACGGAGTACATACGGTAATTATATGTCAAGAAGTCCTGGCTTATTGTACCTTATCAGTTGGAATAGGACATCTGCTGCAGGGTCAAACAAACAGGTCATAAAGCTGTCTCGCGCAGCTCTGCTACGGACTCCACCGATCAACTTTACCTTACTCTCCGAGGCTCCGAGCGTACCTTACCCCACACATATCAAATGAAACGGCAGTAAACGAGCTCAGCAATCGACCATCAGAGAAAAATGACAACCTCACCTTCATATTCCTTCTCATCCTCACCGGCAACTCCCGTCCTACTCCTCAAGACGAAATCTACCCCGCACGATGGCTACGAGGAATTCTTCTCCGCCCACGGCTACAACCCCGCCTTCGTCCCAGTCCTCGAGCACCATTTCAACCAGACGAACCTCCGCACCGTAAAGGATCTCTTCACATCAGGCAGTCTAAATGCCGGACCGCGGCGGAAATACGGTGGGCTGATATTCACCAGCCAACGCGCTGTGGAGGGGTTCGCGCGCTTGGTCACGAACGAGGTAGATGGTACGTTTTCCCCTGCCAACAGCAGACATTGTCAAAAGGCAAGGCGACAGAGTGAAAGGAGATGCACAAGCTAACGCGCCCTAATAGTCTCAATAGCGACGGCCGCATCCCGCTCCTTGATACTCTACACTGTCGGGCCCGCGACATCCCGCTCCCTTACAACGTTACGAGACACGCATCTACCCTATGCCACTATCTACGGCTCCGACGCCGGAGACGGCCAGAAACTTGCGCTTGCTATCCTGGAGCATTATAATGCGCTGTATGTTGGCGGAGGCGTAGGTGCTGGCGCAGACGCACCGCCCACGAAGCCTCCCCTCCTCTTCCTCGTTGGCGAACAGCGCCGCGATATCTTACCGAGAACGCTCATGGATAAGTCATTAGCCCCCGCTAGGCGGATTCAGGTGGATGAGCTTGTCGTTTACGAGACGGGGGTGATGGAGTCCTTTGAGGGTGATTTTCAGGCTGCGGTGCGTGCCGGACAGGAGTACTTGGCTCTGGCTGGTTGGGACGGGGACGGGGATGGGGAGGAGAGGGTGATCTGGGTGGTAGTGTTTTCGCCGACGGGCTGTGATGCGATGCTTCGTGTTCTGGGTTTGCTTTCTACGTCTGCAGAGTCCTCTGCCGGAAATGCGGGTGCGCTGGTTGATGGGAGTGTAAGCGGGACGGAGAGGAGAGTCTTCATAGCAACTATCGGGCCTACGACGAGAGATCATCTTGTCAAGAATTATAGATTCCAGCCGGATGTTTGCGCAGAGAAACCTAATCCGGAAGGTGTTGGTGCTGGCATTGAAGCGTTCATGCGGCGGAGGAAGGGGATATGATCCAGGCGTGCTTGATGACTGTCACTGTACTTGTATTCTATGCCTAATGTTTCGTCACATTGGCGACGATTGCAAGGCACGATGTAAAGATATAGTAATTCTTCGATATACCCAAAGAAGTATGGCTGACAAGATCGTACTGAATGGAAAGACGGCATTGCACATCCAGAAGAAATTTCGTTCAAACCCGGCGCAAGATACAGGGAAATTGGTATGACGTTCTAGATTGACAAACAACTAGCTGGACGCCAACATGGAAATTTGCTCACAACAAAAGCATACGGCCGGCGCTGATCTCCTATTCAGTACAACAGAAGGACCCAGACGGAATCGGGTATTGTGCAAAGACGTTCAACGATGCGACGAGTCGTGTAAGTTGAATGCTGTTGGGAATCGCGATACGTACATGTGTGATCATATCGCTAGAGCCTTCTTTCTATGCGCTTATGATAATATGTGCAGGAGCTTAACCCGTCCCTGGATCGGCGGGTGAGATGGTCGAGTTTCATCCTGCCTTCAAGGTCTGCTGAAGAGTTGCCACTAAATCGGATACCGTCTAAGAGTACACGAGACGCCACTGACTCTCTACCGCATGATTTCTTCGTAGATCAGGGCTGCGGATGACTGGTCAGCGGTCTTTCAATGAAGCAAGCGGATAGAGCGGCGACTGACTTTTCAATTGCTCCTTGCTGAGAGCATCCTTGTTCTTGTCAAAATCAAAGAAGCCCTCGGGAATAGGGGGAGCCGTGGGCTCATCGTCGGGGTCGTGGTACGGCTCCAGATACGGATGGCGTAGAGCATCTTCAACCGTGATACGTTTTGCGGGATTGAAAGCCAGAAGTTTTTCCAGAAGATCCAATGCTAATTCGTTGCTCTTGGGGAATAATGCCTTGAACGGAATCTTCTTCTTGAAGGGAAGAGAGCGAATGTACTCTCGAGCCCGGCGCGATTTTATGCCGTAGTAGTCTTCCATGGTTGGTGTTCCGAGAACATCCAGAATGAGGGTCAATTGGTGATGGTCTGCTCAGTCAGTCGCGGAACGCTTCACTAAGGAATTCCCCAAAAGCACAGCAACTTACAGTCTTTGCCAGGAAATAAGGGCTTCCCGCTCAGCATCTCGGCCAAGATACACCCAACACTCCAGACATCAATGGCTTTCGTATACTCCTTGAATGTCAGCATGATCTCCGGCGCACGGTACCATCGAGTCGCAACGTATTCTGTCATGAAACCTGAGTTGTCATCGGTCGAGGCAGCCGACCGAGCCAAGCCAAAGTCGCAGACTTTCAGGTCACAGTTGGCGTTGAGTAGCAGATTTGAGGGCTTTAGGTCACGATGAAGCACGTTCGCTGAGTGCATGGCTTTGAGTGCACGGAGCGTCTGGTAGATAAAGTATTGGCAGTGGTCATCAGAGAGATCCTGGGTGCGGATGACACGATGCATATCGGTTTCCATCAACTCCTGTCCAAGCAATCAGTCCTTCGAGGTCTAGACGTGCGTGTGTGTGTCGAGGAACGTACCTGAATCAAATACACCTCGTTGAAGCTCTCATAGTTGCGAGGCCTCTGAATATCCAAGATCGAAATAATGTTTTCGTGGTTAAAGTAGCGCAGTAATTTCATTTCACGCAAAGTCCGCAAGCAGAACATGGAGTGATCGAAAGGCGTAATCTTCTTAATTGCAACTTTCTGACCAGAGGGTTTATGGATAGCCGAGCTGGAACAAGTCAGTATCGGAGCCAAACTACCGCTATGGACAATAGAGATCACCCACCAAACGACGCCGTAAGCACCCTCTCCAATGACATCTTGAATTTCATATTGCTCAGAAACGTTGAAGGAGATCTTCCTCGATCCTCCTTGAGGAGGTTGCTGCACCATGGTTGCTAACTTTCAGCTTCAAAGAAGGTTAGTCAAGAGCTCTTCGATTGCAAATTGATAGTCGCAAATCAGATCATGGTCAAGGTCACCCCCGCAACAGTGCATCATTGTTCAAATTGTTCAATAAGCCTCAGAACAGGAGTTGGCGCACTCCTGCTTGAGGGCTTATCAAGTACTGTTTGGCATGCAGCCCGATGAGCCACACAGTGGCTCGGAAACAGATAATGAAAGTCGGCGCTTACATTCGTTTAATCAGTGGTAATCGTAGCTTTGAGCGATAATTATTGATTTAAATGTAGCCAATTCTCATACCGCGGTCGCTCTCGAATTGCTGAAAGTCGCCTGGAATCTGTGGAAGGCTTGAAGCGGGGTAAAATCCGTGTTGGGGGCAGAACGAGTATACAGCAGCGTAGTAATACGAATTCGAAAAAGATGGATCAGAAGAGCACGCCGGCCTTTCGAGGGTATAGGGAGTCGAATTCAAGCAATCCGGTTGACGAGCTTGAGATGCAGCCACAAAGCTATTCGGATGAATACTTCGACGTTCTAGACGGCCCCGAGTCAGTCTTTGGGAGATAAAATAAGCTTCAATATCAGGGCCGTCAAAGACCTTTTCAGGGAAGATTGAGACAAAGAATGGTGAACGCGATCAAAAGTCCTTACCGAAGCTCAAGCTTTAGCTTCTGTGGTCTCCAAGGCTCGATACTTCCCCAGTTAACTGATAATGGCTATCTGTTGTTCCCCTGAATGGAATCAGCCGCTATCCTCGTTTGCCGCTCCGACAGCCAGCTTCCAGTGTATCGGATAGCTTGCAGCAAGTCGGTGACAGAGTATATGTCGTCTAAGACAGGCAGTAGAACAAATGGCAGAGCGCAAGAAACAGAGGAGAAGGAAGGTCGACTAGTATCGTGATGCGGAGGGGCTGGAGAAAGCAATAATAACAGGGAGCGGAACGGCCGAAGTGGGGTGGGGCAGCTTTTGGTTCAGGAACAAGCAAAGAAATAGAGTGAAATAACACTTACCGAGAGATTCCCGAAGAGAGATTCGGGGATATGTCACGAATGCATAGATAGAGGAGTGAATAGAACCTAGGTAGATGGAGGAGGGATGGCGAGAGTTGTTTACAGGATATGGATTTGGTACAGGCGACCCAATATTGTCGCTGATGATCGGCAGTAGTTAATGATAGCAGTGACTTATCGATATGGAGAATCGACCTCAATTTCAGCGTTGGCTGACTGATTATATCGATAGTTACCCTCAATCAGCTGCTTGGAGTTTGGTACGATAAGGAGCTGAACAGAAAATTTTCCCTTATTGTTGATTCTTCTCCTTATTATTGTTGGGTTTAGGGGGTGAACAGTAGCTAAGGTAAGACAGCCACACGAAAAGTCTGGGTGTTGGCCGGGACTGAACCTTGGATCACTCAGAGAGGGGCCGCTGTGGATGTATATACTAAGGCAGAAATTATAGAAACTTTCAGTTTCCCTATGGGAATGCTCGTTGAGGGTTCTTCTTCGTCGATCGTGTACGAGGCGCGAATTTGTGACTTTATATCTGGAGAGAGCCTTTGCAGCAGAAAATAATAACAGGTAATACGGGACAGGATGCTGAACTCGTTAAGAACAGTTTATTCGTCATACATTTAAGAGGCTACCTATATTTGTCTATTTCTTGAGGGGTACAGCTAACAAATAGTAATTCTGTCCTACTACTGTGTCTATTATTGACTACTATCAAGCGAGAGACCCAGAACTCGCCATGAAGGAATTTTGACTTCAGATCTCTCACTAAGAATAGAGGAGAAAAGCACCTTTTGATTTGGGGCCACGAAGGAAACCTCACTATCACTTCTCAGCCTGTCATTATTAGAACTTTTAAAGACTCAGGCTTCAATCGTCGGAGCCATTCAACGTCGGTACAGAGTAGACAGTGGATACGTACAACTACGAAGAACAGGAGTAGAGAACATTGAGACAAGTTACTGGTTACGATCCACTTGGATGTATCGGAATCCCGTCTCGATCAACTCTGTCTCAACCAGTGTTTCAATCCAACCATGGCAAGGACACTAGTCGCCTTCAAACAAGCTAACACGCAGGTAAATAGCTGACCAACACGAAGCCCAAATAATTAGCCGCCACAGCGCCAAAGCCGCATCTCGTACGGATGGACACCACGATGGTCCCACCACTTACAGTTCGAGCGTGTTACAGGCCGTTCCCTTCCAATTTGTTACCAGCAGCTTACACCCCACCATTCCTATTCTCACCAAATGTTGGCCGGATGAGGAGGCCGTGCGATCACAGGTCGGACACTGCACTTGACGCTACTGCCGAGTACGGTCGTCACAATCACCAGATGTTGGATAGGAATCTACCAGTCAACTTTGCTCACTGCCCAACATCGGCAATGCTAAGCTGTGACCAAAAGTCTACCATGCATAAGCGGCCACACAGAGTCACAGATGCCAGGGCAGATGCAGCTCGTGTGCGATGACACACAAGCCCCAGTGATGACCGCCAACGGACTGCAGCTTTAGGGCATACCTATGTTCCAACGTACCTCCCTACTTACAAAGTACTCAGCATAGAAATCTAACTCACTTACATGCTCCTCGTGACCATTCCAGTTTTAAGGCAGAAGATGACTGGACATGAGGGAGAAAGGCAAGGATGAGAAGACACGGTCTACTAGATCTGGATTCTGTATGCACATGTGGTAACTTGTAAGAAAAAAGAAGCCGTTCTCATCACACCAAAAGTGACCCTCACACTGAGTATTGAAATAATGGTACAATGAGACCAAGGATCTACTCCAAATGATAAGTCAAGGCTCCGGTGCCGCTCGTTTCAAAATAAAATGACATGGCCACTGGAAGTGTTGATGTATTTGCCATAAAAAATATCAGACTTTGTAAAGATTATCATTACTGGACAACCTGTGGGCGTGATCAAGCGCGTCAGTCAGATGAGCTTGGATAGCGAGGATGTCGAAGTGAGATGGGGAAGACCTCAAAAGAAATCAGGGCTTTCTCAAACCTTTTCTCGCAGAGAACCCATCCACTGCACCAGGCTGACGCTCTGGTCGGCCCTATCTTCCACGAGCATCGTCTGGGCCCACAGTCGAAGACCTGGCTCTCCATCTTCCTTGACCACATACAGGTGAGGCACCACGATGCTGCCAACGCCCTTTGACCGGTGATCCCGGCTCTTCTCAACGACGGCCCGCACTCGTTGATTGAAGTCATTGTCAAGCTCCGGGAGGTTTTGCTTGCCCACGCGAAGCTGTGACTTGTCAGGCAGACCGAATACATCAAGGAGGAGCTGGGGCACTGCGTCACGCCCGACCCAAAGGAACTGGGTCTGTCCGTCATCAATCAGGTAAAGACCGTACGGCACGATGCGTTCAGAAGACAGGTTGATTGGAGGAGGGAGAACAATCTCGCCGGTCTGCTCATCTGGCAATCCTGCATTGTCAGGCATGTCATGTAGTGAATACATCTTCGGGTAGATGTATTGAATGAGAAGAGGAAGCGGGAGCGTTGACAGCAAGCACAGTGCTGCAGATCGCATATCAGTGGGTATTTGTGCGGATTTGCGAAGACCGAGCTTTGAAATCAATGTCAGGCGGCAGTTTCACCCAGGATATAACAGGCTGGTCCGGAGAACAAAAGGGGAACAAGGGAACTCACGTTTTTGATCATCGCCAGGAAAAGAACAGGAAGACCTCTCAAGTTGGCAGGGAATTGTAGGCCGCCTCCGCTCACGCTTCCACCAGCAAGCTCCTTCCGATATGTCGACAGAAGTTCCACAGCCTTGGCTTGTAGGGCCTCACGGGCAGGTTCCAGTCCACTTGAAAGAACCCGCTCGACAGCTTTGTGGCTGAAGTAAGTCGCAATTGCTTGTTGGTCAGCCGATGCGTATACATCGGCAAGGTTCTGCGTTGTGGGAAGAGCGAGGGTCAACACTCGAATCCTTCTCTCGCCATTGCATGTAGTGTGGAGGACAGCGGTCTGCAGGCAAACAATAGGCTTGGTGACGGTCTCATCGATAGCGACCTCAACAACGTACGCTTGGTCACGAGGAAATGCGGGAAAGGCGCATAGGTCGGAGCTGCGGTTGAAGAAGTTGCCGTAGAAGGTATTCATACGTAACCCAGTCGTAGCACGGACACGAAGGACGGCTTCAAGCCCAATCTCTGAGGACAAGTAATCGGAGAATTCACGAGCGAATTTGATCGCGTCCTCTCCTCGTGCTGCATTCCATCCCGGATAGAAGTATGTTTGTCCACCAGTATATCTCGGCAGGTTGCTGAGGGATGCCACATCCTGGTATTGGGAAGAGAACAGGAACATGTCCACTGAGACCTGTGCCTTAGAGCACTCGACAGCGAAGCTCTTGTAGAAGCTGTTCGCCGTCTGTAGAAGGCTGCTCTCTTTACTCGTCCCGAGGACTTTCTTATCCTCTCTCATGGTCAGGGAGCCATGTCCGACATTGGGCAAAGACGAGCTCAACACGGTCATCTTTCCTCCCACCGGAGCAATCAACTTGTAGCCAGCCCGCAGAGCCGATCCCATGGCACAACCATTATTCTGAGTGTTTTGGAACATTTCCTGTAGTTTGTCGAGGAAGGTCTCAATGTTCTCGCGGCATTCACTCAGAGTCACCAGAAGGTCGCCCGGAATAGGGAGGAAAGGCTCATCCAGATCGCTGATAACAAGCATTCTTGGATCAGAGTTCTCCGAACCGTCTCTGGGAATACTGAAGTAATGAAGGCTAGAGTCGACTGCGATGAAACCCAGCCGAGTCCGACGGTCCGCATTGGGGATCCTGTCGAGGCTTTCCTTGATGCACCTTGCGCTAGTTGCCAGAAGACCATTTGTGACGGACGCATAACTCACGTCGATCAGGAAAAGATACACGAGCGGCTGAGGAGGACGAACCATGTACTCTTGGGGAGCAACGAATTCGACTACCGCGTGGTTGAGATCAGGTCGCAGGGAGCGGTCGGCAGGCTTTTGCAAAGCAGCATCCCAATCGAACGCCTGGGGTACATCATTTGTCAAGTTGCACATATTGCAGCGCCAGCGATGGCCATGGTCCAGAAATGTGACAAATGGGTTGATGTAGGACCGGCAGCGTCGACACCGCGAGATAACCTGGTCTGGAATGACTGGGATTGGGTCTTCCGCATCATGCAGAGCGGTATATGGCTGAATGACAAGGGCAAACGGCAACTTAGATTTCTTGAGGAGAGAGTGCGTTGTCGGCACGGCGTTCAAGGTCGATCGGACATATTTCGGAGGGCAATTCGCTGTAGGAGATGGGTAAACGCTGGTCTAGAGAACGAGGCGGTCAGCAATTTCACTTCCTGGGTCGGATCATGCGAGTGACGTACACCTGGCGGGAGAACGATAGGCGGTGGAGGGTAATCAAGCTCCGCGACATTGAATGGTTGAGTGAGAAGGTCTGTAGGATAGAGCTGGTTGAGGGAACGGGGCGCGGAGCCTGGGGGCCACGGCGGCCTGCGGAGGCTGCGGTGGCATGAGGTGGGGGTCGGTCACGCCCATCGCGCCGAACTGCTGGGTCATCTGTGCCATTCCTGGAGTAGCAGGGGCAGCATACCCCGGCGCTGCTGCATTCATCTGACTTGGGTCCGCCCCATATACAGGTTGTTGATATCCCGCGGCCTGCGGCTGGGGGGGATATGCACCGTAACTGCCGCCAGCGGTGAGTTGTCCCCCAAGAGCAGCATTGGCACCAGATCCAATTTCAAAGGCTTCCCCAGCATATGCACGCTTCTTCTTACCACCTGCATGACCCTGGGGGGAGCTCCGGCGGCCATGCCGGCGTGTTGCTGAGTGGGAGACCCATAACCGGCCGGTTGACCGTACCCTTCCTGGGGAGGATAGCCCCCTTGTGGTGATGCCATGAAGGACGACGCGTGACTTCTCTGTGTATGAGTAATATTATGTTGTTCAATCTGTGCGCTTCCGAGGGCGTAGGCTAAGGGGATCTTGAATGGTCGCGCAACTTGTCACAGCTTCACAACCTTACTAGTCAGCACTTGTTCGAGCGAGGGGCGGGGAGGTGATCAAAGACTCGGGGCAATCCGCGTACCAACAAGCAGAGTCACGCTTCAGACAAATGTGGAATACGAATCCAAGGTATCATAGGCAGATGCCGCACACGAATGCAGTTGACGTGTTCTGGCAGAGTTTGGGATAGCTGTAGGTAGATAATGGAGGTTCTGTCGAAATGGATGGTGTACGGTGGCCTTTGCGGCTGCTGTTCCCCTTGGACCAATCAGACCCCACGAGTCTAGCCGAAGTTCACAGTGTACCAAAACACTCCAGCTTCCACAATAAATGACAAACACCTGCTCCAGGTATTATTATCAGGAGTGGTGATGCTCTTGGTTCGAGAGCTGAGTAGCAGATATATCTACAATTCTATAATTCTCGGAAATCTGTCCGATATTGCTGCGTTGTTGACATAATCAATGAGCGTCCGGGGTATTAGCGATGATCTCATAGGGAGTACATCGCTAGGAATTGTCTCGATACATAATGGAACATGTGTGAAGCTGGCACCGCCGCAACTAAAGAGATGACCTGAGGAACTGATATTGCATTCAAGCATGATGTATTTCATATAGCTATTGGGTTCACCATAAGACTCGACTTCCATTACAGGCGGTTGACGCCTGCCGCACATTGGAACTATATATATGTTCTTCTTCCTCCAAAACTGATTTCACAGCCATACCTCTGGCACTTGAGGATTCAAATTTCCACCATTAATCTGAAGCAACACCTGTGTCGCAGAGCTACACAAAGGTCGAATGAGACAAGCAGCTGCTAAGTTCTACGTGAAGGCCAGGAGATAGAGGTATGCCTGGATTCTCAAGTGAGATCAATGAGCAGAGGTAATCATTGAGTGCGCCAATGTTTTACATCGGATTGAATCGACGACCACTACTCCGTACTTGTAAAAGACATTACGGAGTACTAGAAACTCCTGATTCAACTGATTGACCCCTAACTATCTGTCCAACTGCAAATCGCACTGACATGGATATTCCCCATATCCGCCCCTGTACTAGTGAGATGCGTGCGAGGTTGCCGTGCCAACAGCGCCTGACCGCTAAGCATCGCACCAGGTGAGCACATCCCTGCCTATCTTCCAAGAGCACGGCCGAATAAGTAACCTCTCTAAAAGCAACTCAGTCCAAAGGTGCTTAGCGGGTCTATTTTTGCAGTGAAGCGTATTTCGCTAAGCGCTGGTTTCTTTCTCGCTCTAATCGTGGTCAATTGGCTTTAGTTTGTGGGTTTGTGTCTTTGATTTATCGAGCCCAACGTATCTTCACCTTGCTCCAACTTGGATTATATTCTCCTACCCTCATCGTGCATCCATTCGCGGAGTGATTCGAGCGCCTCATTGCTATGCGAAACCTAAGAACCCTGGAGGTCACCTCTAGTTTATTCTGAATTGGAGGAAGGGAACGGTCGAACTATTAACTCAGACCTCGATCGACGGTACTTCCATCGCGTGGGAATCAAATTTTCAAAACGAGAAGGCCCGATAGAACGAGCACCTAAAAAGAGATAATATGAGTGTTCGGGTAGTGGCCCGTGTTAGGCCACTTCTGAAAGCGGAGCGTGAGCAAGATGTTATTCTTCGCACTGGCCCGTCAAATCATACTTTACCGCCAAAGGGCGACCAACAGAGCTCCCGGGGTAATTCGGCGGTTGCAAAACTGAGGGACCGAGATACAGTTGTCAGGATCCCTAATCCCAAGAATGAAAATGAGGAATATTCTTTCCAGTTCAATGCCGTTTATGATGCAGATGCCTCGCAACAAGAGCTCTATGATGCTGAGGGTTCGTTACGCATTTCTCTGATTTGGCCGCCATGATAGACTGACGTTATTCCTTCAGTTGCTCCCACAGTCAAGCACCTCTTCAACGGCTTCGATGTCACAATATTTGCGTATGGGGTCACCGGAACGGGGAAAACACATACTATGCGAGGTGGTAAAAGCCTGGCCGAGCGAGGTGTTATTCCGCGTCTTCTGAGTAGCATATACAGACGCAGCCGGAAGATCGAGAAGGACAGCGAAGGGGAAACAACTGTCAAGGTTGTCTTGAGCTACTATGAGATCTATAATGACAAAGTCTTCGATCTGTTCGAACCCCCAGAGAAGAGGACACTGGCAGGGCTGCCTCTTCGGGACAATGGCGGGAAGACTGTAGTGGTAGGCTTGACGGAAAAACCATGCACCAGCCTGAAAGAATTCGAGAGCCTGTATGACCATGCAAATATCAACAGATCCACATCTGCAACAAAGGTCAATAGACATGGCTTCGAAAAACCAGGATACGTGAGGCGAGGCTAACTTTGTTTTAGTTAAATGCTCATTCATCCCGATCGCACGCTATTCTGTGTGTGAAAGTGACGATCAGCTCGGGTGACAAGGTTCGCATCAGCACTGCATCTGCTATTGATCTTGCTGGTTCAGAGGATAACCGCCGGACGGACAACGACAAGGAACGCATGGTTGAATCGGCCAGTATTAACAAAAGTCTTTTCGTTCTCGCGCAATGCGTAGAAGCAATCAGCAAGAAACACCAACGAATTCCATATCGTGAGTCGAAAATGACGAGGATATTGTCTTTGGGCCAGAACAATGGCTTGACCGTCATGATCCTCAACCTCGCGCCAATCAAGTCTTATCACCTAGATACCCTCAGCTCTCTAAATTTCGCAAACCGTACCAAGAAGATCGAAGTTCGCGAAGTGGAGAATGAGCCTATGTTCAAAGGACCACCGAGAGTGGTGGCACGAGCCTCAACGGCAAATGCTCAGCGGCAGCCTCTCCGGCCATTGACGGCCTCTGTTAATGTCAACTTGAGTGCACCAACTAACAAAGATACATCCATACCTGGTGACGGCAAGCCGGTGAAAGCGTTCCATGTGTACTCGGACAAGTCCCATTCTAGAAGTTCGGCGCAATTCAAACGAGCTGACGGGCCGAAGAGGTCTTCACTGAGTTCTGATCTTCAAGGAGCACAGCCGAACCGGACATCGAAGACTACTCGGGTCGCGCAGACATCTCTGCCGAGCAAGCGGCAGGAAGATATCTCCACAGCAATGATTGAAGAAATGGTCGAGAAGAAGGTTGAGGAGATTCTTGCCGCGCGTGAGCAGTCGAAGCAGAGTCAAGTCTGTGAGATGAATGAACAACTGCAAAAACGTCTGGAAATACTGGAGCAGCGGATTGAAGGCACAGAGGACGCTAGAGCCGAAGGACTTTCGTACCTACTCATGGGTAAGCAGCATCAGGCGCGAGGGGAGGACTTTTCAGCCCTGAAAATGTATCAGCTGGCGCTCCCTTTCTTTCCAAAGAATGAGAAACTCGCGACCAAGATAGCTACTCTGAAAGAGCGCATTCAGAGCAGGCAGCAGACCACTGAGTTCACTGGCCATGCGCCCTCAGCGCACAAACCCGGCCTCGGAAGCATCTTGTCGATCAAGAAACAGCCAGCACGTGCAGGCACTAAACGCCAAGCTGCTGAATCTGACGAAGATTACGAAGAGCCTGAAGAGAGCCTGGCTCATTACTGTGATGACGATCTTCTTGTAAGCTGCCAGCCAAAGCGCTCAAAGCGTACCAGAACCAAAAGCCCAAGTAAAGAGTCTCCAGATGAACCGGATTCGCCCGGCACGCTTCGCTATCCTTTACGAGCAAGGCGGGGACAGTTGCCAAGTGAGGTCATCTGCTCAGGCTGATTCTTTTGGTCTACTCTCAGTAGGATTAGAGGACGCTTTTTATCGACTGATAGACATCCTCTTTGGCCAATTGTCTTTCGCAGCATCCGCATCATATTGCGGCAGATGATTGCAAGCAGCCAGCCCTAGCCATATGTCGAACATGGACTCAGGCCCTCGATCGCAGGCCAGGCTCTGGTCCTTGAAGCGCGGAATACGACGGAGGGTAGTTTACCTTACTTTCCGCAGCTTTGGAATACAAATATGAGGCACCTGCCTCGCTTAGTCGAGACGTCAAAGCATCTCAGCAATCGACGTCATATCTGAAATAATATGCATCAAACATACATTTTCTGTGCAAAACTCTTGATCAGACATCCACTTGTAGGCACGCAGGTTGTTGACACCTCATGGTACAATAAGCTTTCGAGCCAGAGGAATAGCAGTCAAAGCCTCAGGCTATGAGTACAGCGTGACTGTAGGTGGATTCAATGGGTTCTAGGGTCGTACCTCATAATAACTTATCGAGTAAGTTGCATGCCCTCGCCAATGACAAGGATTGATATCCAGAAGGAAAATGAACGGACCTTGGACTCGAACGGTGTCAGAAGTCAGGACACTACATACATACCTTTGCAGGATCAATAAGGCCAATAAGTGTTGCGTTTGTACTAAGGCTACTACTGGCTCTTTTTGACTTACGCATGATCTGTTCGAGCAGACATATGGCACAACAACGAAATGGATCAAAATCTCTCCCTTCAGAGGCAGGGAAGGCTCATAAGCATCAGACGAAAATAATTGTCTTATTCTATAGTACATCGAATTTGCAAGATGGAAAACCCCGAAGTGAGTCGCTGTCGAATTTTATGCATAACAATACTGCATCTTACTTCTTCTCCGCGATCTTTTCAATGATAACTTTCCCCTCCTTTGTAAGCGTCGCGATACTCTGGCTTATCCCTTTCATCTCGTTTTCCAGTTCCTCGATTGTCCGCGACGGTCCGGGACCCGCATTGACAGCCTCGTGAGCGACGTCTCTGAATTCCTCTCCATCTACCCGTGGTTGTTTAGTGGGTTTCGTAGGGTCGAAGGTCAAACCTCTTGGCGTATCCGCGATTTCGTTGATTTCACGGGTAGACATGATATCATTGATACGAGGTCCGCGGGTCTGTAAGAGGATCTTTGTAGGGCCGTCGAATTGGAGGAAAAGCTGGTCACATGTACGGTTAGTTCATGGACTGAAGACGATTGCAGGTGATCTCATACCCTGTCTCCCCAGATGGTCATTCGCGACCATGTGCGAACCTTGTGCAGTATCTTCATTGTCGTCTTCCATGTGTCTGAGTCTGCCATGTCCCGAATGAACTTGGAGTTCTGGAAGATATTCGGCAGGCTCTTGAGCCCTGGAACCTGGAATTTCAGTGTTGTTGATTTGAAACGGTAAGGGCGTGGTGGGTTGGAGGTCGTGGTGTAGGCCACCACATTACTGCTATGTGTTAGTCACATGCACAGATGTCAAAAGAAGAAACACATCCATACCTGGGATGTACAATGTATTGTTCCCCGGCCTTCAACTCGACTGAATATAATTGGCCTGCGCCAACCAGTGCCAGAAGCCCTCGTCCCGTCACCTCGGAGCTACCCCAATGGGCCAAGCTCTGCTCAAGTTAGCGCAGTCTTCCCGCATAGATTAACGTAGGGTTGCGGACCAGGTTTGTATTGATAGTTGGCCGGACAGTGAGAGTGCGACCAGTCCAGGCGAGCAATGCTCGTCTTTGAGCAATCATCCAGTCCACCGAGCCATCGAGGCGGACAACCGCGAAAGAGGTGACTGGGGATCGAACGGAGACCAACGCCGTTACTGGACTCGCCGACGATACCTGCCCGATTTCAGCAATGACTCCTTCGCGCAAGATATCTCATGGGTCCAGACCTTCTGGTAAAGAAATGGTATGCCGACGGCAGCTCTTCGAAAAGGCTCAAGAATACTTAACGTTGAAACCACCTGCAAATCAAGCCGAGAGCAGTCAGCAGGGTGACCTCAGCGAAAGCGCTGAAATGACAGGTCTTCTCCATACGTTGTCTGCTTTCCCACTTAATCCAACCAGTGTCCCTCGTCGAGTATAGAGATTCTGTGAAGCGGAAAGCGAAACTGAGAGCAAAGAGTAGGGTGCGCCAATGACCTCGAATCGCGCATCTGTCTCAACCGCTGTTAGCGACGGTGTCTGCGCTGAAGACAATCGCAAAATGGGGCCATTATCCCTGTAAGCACATACCCGCTGATTCTGCTGAGCTTGGTGTGTCGACAATGGCGAGCTGATCCCCATTAACTGCACCTGCTCGCTCTGAAGGCGCCGCGCGGATTTGGATGCATCTTGTCTGCCATTGGGGAAGCGATGCAACACCCTGTCGCACCCGCGGGGGGCCGGCTCGGATGGAGGATAGAGTCCGAACACCTCCTCTCAAGGGTTGACTCATCCTTGGACCTACAGCAAATATTCAAGACGTATTGCTGAAAAGCGAGGATCAGACTATGGGGCGGCCGTGAGTGACGCTCCTCGATTGCCCGGATTTCAAGATTCCTAATCGGGTAAAGCGCTTGGCTGGAACTCAACACCGCCTTGGACATTGCTCTTCTATGAGCGTAAAGCCGAATGTCGCTGGGCTTCTTTGAGTAGATATCTACGAGCTTGATGATGGACTGAGCAGCTTTCAATTGCTTCTACCAATGAAGCAAGTCATAGGAGATACTGTTGTGTGCTCACCCACAATGTGAAAACGTCTCCTCTGATGCCATCCAGTGATGTCACATGCAAAAGAACTCCCTGCTAGGCGATAGACTTGCACTCACCTTCTAATTTCCAACTTGGATATGTTAACTTGCGGCGGAAAATAGATGTCATTCTTCTCTTGTCAGTAGAATCCTAGTCAATCAAGCATATACCGATTATAAGCACTGTATGGATCTGAGAACACAGTGCGGAGAAATTGCGCTCTCTGTATTACCAGCGTTCATGCGTAATTACCGGAAGAAGCAAATTGGCGATTGCGACAGAGCAGTTCGTTTTGATGCTATCTCTGCCATTACGTGCTTCTAACTATCTTCGGGATCTCCTTATTTTCTGTTATTATCTTTCTTGAGTTCCCGCAAGAGTTGTTGATTAGATCTAGCAGAGTAGTATCTCGTGCCGAGAGGGTAACTGAATCCGGGAGTACCTCACGAGCACGCAGATTGTCCCCGCCGAGCTCAACCTCCGAACCCGGCGGTTTGCATGGCCAGCGAGCTATTTACACCCAAGAACACACGTCTATGATGGTCTCTTGACGATACATCGAAGTGAAGACCGTCGTCAGATAGGATCTACGGCCATAATGCTGCCCGGAGCAGCTCGATCGCCATGCCTGCGTCTCCCCAGGCGCTTCGCCCGCGCTGGTCTCGCCGTTCCGCGCACAGCGCGGTGGACCACCGCTTGCTACGGGATACAATTCAAAGCATTTACCTCAGCAAACGGCCCATCGAGGAAGGAGGTACCTAAAGATCCTGCATCGAAATCGAAGACTGCGAGCCCCATACCTACCCCGGCATCTGCCAGCGTGAACCCACCGAAAGATGGACGAAATGCGACGACCGCGAAGAAAGACCTGCTCAGCGAGACGACGCTTGCGAACAAGGAACAAAGGAAGGCAGACTGGGCTATCATAAAGGAAATGGCAAAGTACCTCTGGCCAAAGGTATGGCATCGTGTGGCCTTCATATTCTGGGAATACATGGGTATTGATTGTGTATAATGCAGGATGACTGGGGAACCAAACTCCGTGTCGGAACTGCGCTCTCATTGTTGGTTGGAGCAAAGGTAAGGGGTCTTTGAAGCGCAAAATGATCAAGCGACAGCTCACAAAGGGGGCCTAGATCTTGAACGTGGAAGTTCCCTTCTATTTCAAAAGCATCGTGGATGCGATGAATATCGACTTTGCAACTGTCGGCGGAACAGCATACACTGTGGCTGGTTCGATGATTATTGCCTGTAAGCGATAGCTGCTTGGCCTGTAATTATACAATATACTCTAACAATCACGCCTTTTAGACGGAGCTACCCGAATCGGCTCTACTCTATTTCAAGAGCTTCGCAACGCTGTCTTCGCAAGCGTGGCTCAGAAAGCAATTCGGAGGGTTGCGCGAAATGTCTTTGAGCATTTGCTGCGGTTGGATCTCAACTTTCACCTCAGCCGCCAGACTGGTGGATTAACAAGGGCAATTGATCGGGGAACAAAAGGTATCAGCTTCTTGCTGACGTCCATGGTTTTCCATGTGGTACCTACTGCTCTGGAAATCTCGCTCGTTTGCGGTATCCTGGTAAGTCGCGGTAATTGATCATAGGCAGGACAGCCCGGCGACTAATAGTGCTAGACATACCAATACGGATTCCAATTTGCTGCAATCACAGCGGCAACGATGATCGCATACACTGCCTTCACCATCACAACTACTGCCTGGCGAACCAAATTTCGAAAACAGGCTAATGCGGCTGATAACCGTGGAGCGACGGTGGCTGTCGATTCGCTGATCAACTACGAAGCTGTCAAGTACTTCAATAATGAACAGTATCAGGTGGCGCGCTACGATAAGGCACTCAAGGCTTATGAGGATGCCTCCATCAAGGTGACGACGTCTCTTGCCTTTCTGAATTCCGGCCAAAATATGATATTCTCGAGCGCGCTGGCCGCAATGATGTACCTTGCCGCCAACGGAGTCGCCAACGGAAACTTGACGGTTGGCGACTTGGTCATGGTGAATCAGCTCGTCTTTCAGCTCTCGGTGCCACTCAATTTCCTCGGATCCGTGTATCGTGAACTCCGTCAGTCTTTGCTGGATATGGAGACGCTGTTCAATCTGCAAAAGGTCAACGTCAATATCAAGGAGAAGCCCGACGCCAAACCGCTCCAGCTCCACAAAGGAGGCGAGATCAGGTTTGAAAACGTCACTTTCGGCTATCATCCCGACCGTCCTATCCTCAAGG